AGATTATTGTATGTGGGTAGGTGGATGGATGTAGATTATTGTATGTGGGTAGATGGAGTAGATTATTGTATGTGGGTAGGTGGATGGATGTAGATTATTGTATGTGGGTAGGCGGATGTAGATTATTGTATGTGGGTAGATGGAGTAGATTATTGTATGTGGGTAGGTGGATGGATGTAGATTATTGTATGTGGGTAGGTGGATGGATGTAGATTATTGTATTTGGGTAGGTGGATGTAGATTATTGTATGTGGGTAGGCGGATGTAGATTATTGTATGTGGGTAGATGGAGTAGATTATTGTATGTGGGTAGGCGGATGTAGATTATTGTATGTGGGTAGATGGATGTAGATTATTGTATGTGGGTAGGTGGATGGATGTAGATTATTGTATGTGGGTAGATGGATGTAGATTATTGTATGTGGGTAGGCGGATGTAGATTATTGTATGTGGGTAGATGGAGTAGATTATTGTATGTGGGTAGATGGATGTAGATTATTGTATGTGGGTAGATGGATGTAGATTATTGTATGTGGGTAGATGGAGTAGATTATTGTATGTGGGTAGATGGAGTAGATTATTGTATGTGGGTAGATGGAGTAGATTATTGTATGTGGGTAGATGGATGTATGTAGATTATTGTATGTGGGTAGGTGGATGTAGATTATTGTATGTGGGTAGATGGAGTAGATTATTGTATGTGGGTAGATGGATGTAGATTATTGTATGTGGGTAGGCGGATGTAGATTATTGTATGTGGGTAGATGGATGTAGATTATTGTATGTGGGTAGGTGGATGGATGTAGATTGTTGTATGTGGGTAGGTGGATGGATGTAGATTATTGTATGTGGGTAGGTGGATGGATGTAGATTATTGTATGTGGGTAGATGGAGTAGATTATTGTATGTGGGTAGGTGGATGGATGTAGATTATTGTATGTGGGTAGATGGAGTAGATTATTGTATGTGGGTAGGCGGATGTAGATTATTGTATGTGGGTAGGCGGATGTAGATTATTGTATTTGGGTAGGCGGATGTAGATTATTGTATTTGGGTAGATGGATGTAGATTATTGTATTTGGGTAGGCGGATGTAGATTATTGTATTTGGGTAGGCGGATGTAGATTATTGTATTTGGGTAGGCGGATGTAGATTATTGTATTTGGGTAGATGGATGTAGATTATTGTATTTGGGTAGGCGGATGTAGATTATTGTATTTGGGTAGGCGGATGTAGATTATTGTATTTGGGTAGATGGATGTAGATTATTGTATGTGGGTAGGTGGATGTAGATTATTGTATGTGGGTAGGCGGATGTAGATTATTGTATGTGGGTAGGTGGATGGATGTAGATTATTGTATGTGGGTAGGTGGATGTATGTACATCTGAACATGTGTTTCTTGTCCCAGTTTTAATGACGTCATAATCCCACACTCGACTAAGCATTAGTGTCATTATAGCGCTGCCTGATAAGTGGATTATTGGATTTGTTGTTCCAGTTACACACCCACGTTCGCACACAGACTTCTTGAGTGTAAGATCAAATAGATATCCTTCGACCACCCACTCTTAAGGCATAACCGTTTCAAGAATTAAGAATGGAAAAGTGTATGTTATGGTTCCCAGAAAAATGCGCAAATAGAAATAAACCGGTAGTGATCTCCCCTAAACTTTCTCGAATATTCTTATATAAAACAACAGGGGATGGTAACTGGGGATATAGTTATGATCTTTAATCCATTTTAAATACTGAAACTTTTAAAAATAGAATAGAATCTCAGTAAAAAACAATTGCGCACCAAGCGAACGCCTAATAAAGGTGTGTATAATAGTGCGCAATAGTATTAGTACTTTATAAATTTACATTAGTTTTTTGAGAAATCGGAAGTAGCGTAAACTACTACTTCCGGTCAACGGAAATTACTCAAAATTTAACAGAAGGTAGAGAATTAGATCTTTTACTTACATGTGAAATTTCATTTATCTATCTGAAATAGTACTCAAGTTATAGGCTTTTGAAAAATTCAAAGTAGAAAAAGTACCACTTCCGGTTATCCGAAATCGCTCAAAAGTTGATACGGATCTACGATTTTGATATAATACTTGTATATGAAATTTCATCAACCTAGCTGTAACGGTACTCAAGTTATCGTGTTTACACACGGACACACACACACACACACACACGGACACACAGACATACGGACAAGATTGCAAAATTATGTTTTTCCGTATCAGTGAGATGTAAAACGTCGAGATTTGCAAAAATCTCGATTTTTTTTTTTTGCACGATTACAAGACTTTCTCTATACTTCGTATATACGAGAAAGTAAAAATGCGCAAATGTAAACTAATTATCCTAATACAATTTAATTTCGTCATATTTTGTGTAAAAGTGCTTTATTTTGCTACAGTGTAGCCCTTAATTTTGGGAATTCTTTGTGTCTATAAATGCTCAATTTTAGAAAACAAAAATGTTTTTGCGCACTTTTTTTGTGCGCTGTTTTCCGTTGCTAATCTTTCCCGTCACGGTTATAACTGTTTATTCAGGTTCACAATAATAATCTTTTCCCAATGCTTATACCGTAAATTCATGATACATGAAATGTGTTATACCGTAAATTCATGATACATGAAACCCTAATCCAACCCACTGCCAACCCTAATCCAACCCACTGCCATGGATAACCACAACCTAAGGATAACCACAACCCATGGGTAACCACAACCTTGTGGTGCTCCGGTGTGTGAAGACACTAATGTCGGTGACTGAAATAGACCATAGAATTTCTTTACAATTTCTTTCTAAGGCTCCCATCAGGTTTTTAAAATCTGGGTTGCCCGTCCTTCGTTCTGTTGTTACGTCAGATGCGCAGCTATATATATGTATGTATACATTAAGGGTCTTTTTATATATATATATATATATTATACTGCAGGCCTATATATATATATATATATATATATATATATATATATATATAGGCCTGAGGTATAATCTTCATGATCCCCAACCAATATATTGTGCACCACTTATAAACTTAATTTCAACATGTAGTTTTGACGTGCCGTGCACAAAGATTGTTTTGATAATTTTTCCAAGATGTCGTCTCATACATTCAATCAACGGCCAGTATTGAATTCTAAAATATGATTCATGTTTGTAGACAGTTTTCTACAGAAATCTTTTTTTCTCAATCCGCCCGTTCTCTGAGATCGTTCAGCCTAGGACTTGTATAGAAATAAAAGAAGCGAACGCGTAACGACTTGTTTACGTGTCCAAATTTGGGATTGAATGCAGCGCCTGCGTGCACCGGGTCGCTCCTTGTCCGTTAGGTCGTCACTGAAATAGTGAACTGAACTTCTAAAACACAAACCGATAGAACTATCCTCACCACAGTACAGTGCATTATCGGTAGCTCCAGTATGCTACAAGTCACAAGTACTATTATTAGAATTACTTCCCTTTTTAATTATTGTTTACATTTTTCGATTAGTAACATGAACTCTGGGTGCCAAAGGAAATAACTCTCTAGTCCCACCCAAAGAGTTATCTTTTTTAGACGACAATTTGAAAGTCGACAAAAGGTCATCCATTTCACACGGCCCGCTAATGTGAAATGAATGTTTTGATCAATGGTTTTTGAACAGCAGCTATCAAAGGCTGTATACACAAATTTAGCATAAGAATAAAGGACTTGAAGAGGCGTGTCTGAAACTTTTTTTGTGCTTCCAGGTAAGCAGTGTTTCTTCCAGACTTTTTTCTCCGGGGGGGGGGGGGCACTTGAAATTTTCGGGGGGGGGGGAGGGCGGCGGACACTGTTAAAAGTATATATATATAAATTTCATTTCGTTGGGGTGGGGGGGGGGGGGGCGGTAGAATTTTTTCGGGCGGGCTTCGCACCCCCCCCCCCTCCGAAGAGATGCCTGGAAGAAACTCTGCAGGCAAGATTGTGCGGGAAGTTTGAGATCGAGGCATATCCAGGTCTAGCCTAGAAAACTGGATCAAGTTAAGCAACACTTTAGGTTTTATTTTGGTTTAAAATCTTCTTGCTTGGATCTTGATTTCCTGATGGTACCAAGATGGTACACTAATGGTACCCTGATGGTACCATGGTGGTACCCCGATGGTACCCTGAGTACACTAAAGCTTTCTCTCTGGAGGTTTCATCCTCTTTTAGCAAACCTGTATATCACAAACCTGTATATCACACACAAACCTGTAAATCACAAACCTGTATATCACAAACCTGTATATCACAAACCTGTAGGCCCTATATCACAAACCTGTATATCACAAATCTGTAGGCCCTATATCACAAACCTGTATATCACACATCTGTATATCACAAACCTGTAGGCCCTATATCACAAACCTGTATATCACAAATCTGTATATCACAAACCTGTAGGCCCTATATCACAAACCTGTATATCACAAACCTGTAGGCCCTATATCACAAACCTGTATATCACAAATCTGTAGGCCCTATATCACAAACCTGTATATCACAAATCTGTATATCACAAACCTGTAGGCCCTATATCACAAACCTGTATATCACAAACCTGTATATCACAAACCTGTATATCACAAACCTGTATATCACAAACCTGTATATCACAAACCTGTAGGCCCTATATCACAAACCTGTATATCACAAAGCTGTATATCACAAATCTGTAGGCCCTATATCACAAACCTGTATATCACACATCTGTATATCACAAACCTGTAGGCCGTATATCACAAATCTGTATATCACAAACCTGTATATCACAAATCTGTATATCACAAACCTGTAGGCCCCATATCACAAACCTGTAAGCCCCATATCACAAACCTGTATATCACAAACCTGTATATCACAAATCTGTATATCACAAACCTGTATATCACAAACCTGTAGGCCGTATATCACAAATATGTATATCACAAACCTGTAGGCCTTATATCACAAACCTGTGTATCATATATAACCATAGAAAAACTTTTGACTGAACATATTTTAAAGTCATTTTATTTGATCATACAAAAAAAAACATTCAGCTAGATGAAAATAAATAACAGTACAGTATGAAATACTCTAGCCATGAGACATTAGATCACATGACTTCATCACATGACTTCATCACATGACTTCATTACATGACTTCATCACATGACTTCATCACATGATGTTTGGTTGAACTGATGTCCAGTGCAGGTACAGCAGAGTGTAGCTAAATGTGCCACACCAGATAACATTGTAGTTAACTACAAGGCAGTAGCCACATGATTGAGATAATTTTTACTTGAATATTTCCCATTATTTATGTCAGTTCAAATTTGAATGATGATAAACCTTTGAAAAAGCCAACATGAATTCTTTCACATATCGAGAATACGAGCTTGACAAGATCATACAAGACAAAAAAAAAGGTAACTCAGGTCCATACATTTCTACTCCCATTCAAAATGATTTGCACTCGTGTATTTGATTAGTTTAAAATGAATTTGCTTTGAAAAATGTCTGGTACTTTATTACTTTTCAAGCCAAGAGAGTCAGCCAAGAGAGTCAGCCAAGAGAGTCAGCCAAGAGAGTCAGGCAAGAGTTAGTGCCCTGAGGAGCCAGACTGAATGGACTCCTCTGAGATGATCTTCTCATCAGTGGGGATGCTGATGTGAGGGAACACGAATGGCGTGTGCTGATACGACTTGGCTGGAAGATCAAGGTCACTCCTCCCCTCCAGGATGTCCTCCCCTGGCTCCTCCGCCTCACCCACCCCTGACCTGGCAGAACCCACGGGGCGAATACGTAAGTGCTCTTCACGCTCGAGATCATAGCAGATCTGCAGCAGACGATTTATTTTGCATGACCTTTCACCCTTGCATGGTCCTCCTAATTTGAGAAACCTGGCATTTAAACCAACAGCCTGAGGAGACAAACATTTTTAGCAACGTCAGAAAAGACATTTTTTTTTCAAATAGCTTATAGACCGTAATTGTACACTTTTTAGAGAGTAAACTGTATCAAATAGCTTATATTAGTTTATAGACCGTAAATTGTAAACTTTTTAGTGAGTAAATTGTATCAAATAGCTTATATTAGTTTATAGACTGTAAATTGTACACTTTTTAGAGAGTAAACTGTATCAAATAGCTTATATTAGTTTATAGACCGTAAATTGTACACTTTTTAGTGAGTAAATTGTATCAAATAGCTTATATTAGTTTATAGACCGTAAATTGTACACTTTTTAGTGAGTAAATTAAACACTGTGCTACTCACCAAATCCACAATAAAAGTCTCTGCAGTTTCTATGTCATTTGTAGAGATGACTATTTCAGTTTTTAACCCTGAAAGAGAAGAGTCAGCTATTGGCATTATTTGAATAGTTGCTAAAAGCTTAAACACGAAACGTGTCTACATGGTCTCACCAGGAAAATCAGTTTACTTTAACACACAATGTTTTTATGACTGTAGAATGGGCTAGAGCCATATACGTTTAGCCCAAATATTTAGCCCGAACGATTAGCCAAAATGTTTAGCTCAAAAGATTAGCCCAAATATTTAGCCCTAAACATTAACCCAAATATTTAGCCCAAATGTTTAGCCCTAAACATTAGCCCAAATGTTTACTCCGAAAAATTAGCCCAAATATTTAGCCCACATGTTTAGCCATGTGTAATGAGTGAGTGACCTTGATACAACTTGGCGCACGTAATGATGTCTGAGATTGTGTTCAACCTCTCAAGGAACATGACGATGCCACTCGATGATGCGTATCTGGGCGCCACTTCCTTGATCAGGGAGCCTGGTCTGTCATAAAAATGGCTGCCAATAATGTAGACAAAGTTGCTGAGTTTTTCACAAAGTTTCATCCAAATGTCCAGTTCCTAATGAGATCAAGTTTTGAGATGTTACATTTGTACATTTCAAATGATCAGTACATTCTAATAGAAACAAAACAAAATTTAATGAAAATACAATGAATGAATTATCCAATAAAAGAATTTCTGTATGATTGGTCAAAGAAAAAAATAAAACCTGTGACTAGAAAGACAATTCTAATTCAGTAAAATCCTAACAAATCTAGTACAATAAAATTACGGCCAGTCTAGTACACTAAAATCCTAGCAATTCAATTATTATAGATAACATTAGAAACTTCACACCTTATAGATAATATTAGAAACTTCACACCTTATAGATAACATTAGAAACTTCACACCTTATAGATAACATTAGAAAGTTCACACCTTATAGATAATATTAGAAACTTCACACCTTATAGATAACATTAGAAACTTCACTCCTTATAGATAACATTAGAAACTTCACACCTTATAGATAACATTAGAAACTTCATGCCTTATAGATAACATTAGAAACTTCACACCTTATAGATAACATTAGAAAGTTCACGCCTTATAGATAACATTAGAAAGCTCACACCTTATAGATAACATTAGAAACTTCACACCTTATAGATAACATTAGAAAGTTCATGCCTTATAGATAACATTAGAAAGTTCACGCCTTATAGATAACATTAGAAAGTTCACACCTTATAGATAACATTAGAAAGTTCACACTTTATAGATAACATTAGAAAGTTCACACCTTATAGATAACATTAGAAAGTTCACGCCTTATAGATAACATTAGCAATGTCTCACCTTATAGATAACATTAGCAATGTCTCACCTTATAGATAACATTAGCAATGTCTCACCTTATAGATAACATTAGCAATGTCTCACCTTATAGATAACATTAGCAATGTCTCACCTTATAGATAACATTAGCAATGTCTCACCTTATAGATAACATTAGCAATGTCTCACCTTATAGATAACATTAGCAATGTCTCACCTTATAGATAACATTAGAAAGTTCACACCTTATAGATAACATTAGAAACTTCATGCCTTATAGATAACATTAGAAAGTTCACACCTTATAGATAACATTAGAAACTTCACGCCTTATAGATAACATTAGAAAGTTCACACCTTATAGATAACATTAGAAACTTCATGCCTTATAGATAACATTAGAAAGTTCACACCTTACAGATAACATTAGCAATGTCTCACCTCACTCCTTACAGGATCAATAATGGCCAGGACGGAGGAATATTTGCCAAAGATATCTGACCAGAAGCCGATCATTTCATCTGGACTTTTCAGCAGACCTTCCATCACCTCATATTTACCTCTTTCCTTCAGACAAGAAAAATTCTATCATTTGTTTATCAAATACAGCTTAACTAACTTCTAGTCAAATGATTCACTTTGTCTTCATGTTACCATTTTTGACCTTTTAGGGGCAGGTGATGGAGTCCACCTGTTTCTACAATGTCAGCATATGAAGGGAAAAGGTGGTCAGAACTATAGACTGTTGACTTTACTTTCCCTAATTTGGGTCAGGTACCCATCAGAGCTGAGTGGACTCTGGGAAATAGACTTAAGCCAAGGATCTAAACTTGAGACTTTAAAGTTAACATTTGTTCATTTGACCACACCCACTCTCTACCACCAGACCACACCCACTCTCTACCACCCACTCTCTACCACCCACTCTCTACCACCAGACCACACCCACTCTCTACCACCCACTCTCTACCACCAGACCACACCCACTCTCTACCACCCACTCTCTACCATCCACTCTCTACCACCCACTCTCTACCACCAGACCACACCCACTCTCTACCATCCACTCTCTACCACCAGACCACACCCACTCTCTACCACCCACTCTCTACCACCAGACCACACCCACTCTCTACCACCCACTCTCTACCACCAGACCACACCCACTCTCTACCACCAGACCACACCCACTCTCTACCACCAGACCACACCCACTCTCTACCACCCACTCTCTACCACCAGACCACACCCACTCTCTACCACCCACTCTCTACCACCCACTCTCTACCACCAGACCACACCCACTCTCTACCACCCACTCTCTACCACCAGACGACACCCACTCTCTACCACCCACTCTCTACCACCCACTCTCTACCACCAGACCACACCCACTCTCTACCACCAGACCACACCCACTCTCTACCACCCACTCTCTACCACCAGACCACACCCACTCTCTACCACCAGACCACACCCACTCTCTACCACCAGACCACACCCACTCTCTACCACCCACTCTCTACCACCCACTCTCTACCACCAGACCACACCCACTCTCTACCACCCACTCTCTATCACCAGACCACACCCACTCTCTACCACCCACTCTCTACCACCAGACCACACCCACTCTCTACCACCCACTCTCTACCACCCACTCTCTACCACCCACTCTCTACCACCAGACCACACCCACTCTCTACCACCAGACCACACCCACTCTCTATCACCCACTCTCTACCACCCACTCTCTACCACCCACTCTCTACCACCAGACCACACCCACTCTCTACCACCCACTCTCTACCACCAGACCACACCCACTCTCTACCACCAGACCACACCCACTCTCTACCACCCACTCTCTACCACCCACTCTCTACCACCCACTCTCTACCACCAGACCACACCCACTCTCTACCACCCACTCTCTACCACCCACTCTCTACCACCAGACCACACCCACTCTCTACCACCCACTCTCTACCACCCACTCTCTACCACCAGACCACACCCACTCTCTACCACCCACTCTCTACCACCCACTCTCTACCACCAGACCACACCCACTCTCTACCACCAGACCACACCCACTCTCTACCACCCACTCTCTACCACCAGACCACACCCACTCTCTACCACCCACTCTCTACCACCCACTCTCTACCACCCACTCTCTACCACCCACTCTCTACCACCAGACCACACCCACTCTCTACCACCCACTCTCTACCACCAGACCACACCCATTCTCTACCACCCACTCTCTACCACCAGACCACACCCATTCTCTACCACCCACTCTCTACCACCCACTCTCTACCACCAGACCACACCCACTCTCTACCACCCACTCTCTACCACCAGACCACACCCACTCTCTACCACCCACTCTCTACCACCAGACCACACCCATTCTCTACCACCCACTCTCTACCACCCACTCTCTACCACCCACTCTCTACCACCAGACCACACCCATTCTCTACCACCCACTCTCTACCACCCACTCTCTACCACCCACTCTCTACCACCCACTCTCTACCACCCACTCTCTACCACCAGACCACACCCACTCTCTACCACCCACTCTCTACCACCCACTCTCTACCACCCACTCTCTACCACCCACTCTCTACCACCAGACCACACCCACTCTCTACCACCCACTCTCTACCACCCACTCTCTACCACCCACTCTCTACCACCCACTCTCTACCACCCACTCTCTACCACCCACTCTCTACCACCAGACCACACCCACTCTCTACCACCCACTCTCTACCACCAGACCACACCCATTCTCTACCACCCACTCTCTACCACCCACTCTCTACCACCCACTCTCTACCACCCACTCTCTACCACCAGACCACACCCACTCTCTACCACCCACTCTCTACCACCAGACCACACCCACTCTCTACCACCCACTCTCTACCACCCACTCTCTACCACCAGACCACACCCACTCTCTACCACCAGACCACACCCACTCTCTACCACCAGACCACACCCACTCTCTACCACCCACTCTCTACCACCCACTCTCTACCACCAGACCACACCCACTCTCTACCACCAGACCACACCCACTCTCTACCACCCACTCTCTACCACCCACTCTCTACCACCCACTCTCTACCACCCACTCTCTACCACCCACTCTCTACCACCATACCACACCCACTCTCTACCACCATACCACACCCACTCTCTACCACCCACTCTCTGTCATATGAACATTTTATTGAACATTTGTCTCTGTCTTATGCAAAAAGTAACTACTACACCAATATAAAAACACTATGACAAAGTTTCTTACATAATCAAAGTATTCATGGGCTGCCGCATTCAGAGCCACATACATATCTCTGCCTGGGACCAGTCCCCTGGTGTTGATGGCTTCTTGCAAGAGATCCAGGGCCTGGCTCGGCTGGTCAAATGGGGGGGTCAGTGCTCCATATTCATTGGTCACTTTGGCGCTCGCCTATGGGGGTAGATCGATGTAAATAGAAAAGTACAAAAATATTTTAAATTCTGTGGAAATCCTCTCTCCACTACCAGACTTGACGCCACTCTAGCCATCAATCACAGCGCCATCTGTGGGGCAGGCAGGATAGATTACAATGGACATAACCATCAATAGTATGGTTTAGGATAGATTACAATGGCCATCAATAGTATGGTTTAGGATAGATTACAATGGACATAACCATCAATAGTATGGTTTCGGATAGATTACAATGGCCATCAATAGTATGGTTTAGGATAGATTACAATGGACATAACCATCAATAGTATGGTTTAGGATAGATTACAATGGACATCAATAGTATGGTTTAGGATAGATTACAATGGACATAACCATCAATAGTATGGTTTAGGATAGATTACAATGGCCATCAATAGTATGGTTTAGGATAGATTACAATGGACATAACCATCAATAGTATGGTTTAGGATAGATTACAATGGACATCAATAGTATGGTTTAGGATAGATTACAATGGAAGTGGCCATCAATAGTATGGTTTAGGATAGATTACAATGGCCATCAATAGTATGGTTTAGGATAGATTACAATGGACATCAATAGTATGGTTTAGGATAGATTACAATGGACATCAATAGTATGGTTTAGGATAGATTACAATGGACATCAATAGTATGGTTTAGGATAGATTACAATGGACATCAATAGTATGGTTTAGGATAGATTACAATGGCCATCAATAGTATGGTTTAGGATAGATTACAATGGCCATCAATAGTATGGTTTAGGATAGATTACAATGGACATCAATAGTATGGTTTAGGATAGATTACAATGGACATGGCCATCAATAGTATGGTTTAGGATAGATTACAATGGACATCAATAGTATGGTTTAGGATAGATTACAATGGACATGGCCATCAATAGTATGGTTTAGGATAGATTACAATGGACATCAATAGTATGGTTTAGGATAGATTACAATGGACATGGCCATCAATAGTATGGTTTAGGATAGATTACAATGGACATAACCATCAATAGTATGGTTTAGGATAGATTACAATGGCCATCAATAGTATGGTTTAGGATAGATTACAATGGCCATCAATAGTATGGTTTAGGATAGATTACAATGGCCATGGCCATCAATAGTATGGCTTAGGATAGATTACAATGGACATCAATAGTATGGTTTAGGATAGATTACAATGGCCATCAATAGTATGGTTTAGGATAGATTACAATGGACATAACCATCAATAGTATGGTTTAGGATAGATTACAATGGCCATCAATAGTATGGTTTAGGATAGATTACAATGGCCATCAATAGTATGGTTTAGGATAGATTACAATGGACATCAATAGTATGGTTTAGGATAGATTACAATGGACATGGCCATCAATAGTATGGTTTAGGATAGATTACAATGGACATCAATAGTATGGTTTAGGATAGATTACAATGGACATAACCATCAATAGTATGGTTTAGGATAGATTACAATGGACATCAATAGTATGGTTTAGGATAGATTACAATGGACATGGCCATCAATAGTATGGTTTAGGATAGATTACAATGGACATAACCATCAATAGTATGGTTTAGGATAGATTACAATGGACATCAATAGTATGGTTTAGGATAGATTACAATGGACATGGCCATCAATAGTATGGTTTAGGATAGATTACAATGGACATCAATAGTATGGTTTAGGATAGATTACAATAGCCATCAATAGTATGGTTTAGGATAGATTACAATGGCCATCAATAGTATGGTTTAGGATAGATTACAATGGACATCAATAGTATGGTTTAGGATAGATTACAATGGCCATCAATAGTATGGTTTAGGATAGATTACAATGGACATCAATAGTATGGTTTAGGATAGATTACAATGGCCATCAATAGTATGGTTTAGGATAGATTACAATGGACATCAATAGTATGGTTTAGGATAGATTACAATGGACATCAATAGTATGGTTTAGGATAGATTACAATGGCCATCAATAGTATGGTTTAGGATAGATTACAATGGACATCAATAGTATGGTTTAGGATAGATTACAATGGCCATCAATAGTATGGTTTAGGATAGATTACAATGGCCATCAATAGTATGGTTTAGGATAGATTACAATGGAAGTGGCCATCAATAGTATGGTTTAGGATAGATTACAATGGACATCAATAGTATGGTTTAGGATAGATTACAATGGCCATCAATAGTATGGTTTAGGATAGATTACAATAGACATGGTCATCAATAGTATGGTTTAGGATAGATTACAATGGACATCAATAGTATGGTTTAGGATAGATTACAATGGACAATTTTAAAATCCAATTTGGTTGATTTGATTTTATCACTGAAAATATTTTAAAATGGTTTTTTTATTCATGTCACCAATACTGTCAACCTCATCTCAAACTGGGCGGCCTCCATTACTCTACTGTTCTAGGCCTACATAAGTGTATGCCTGCTGTTTCCAAATTAAAAAAAAAATATTTGTGAAAACTTGTCAAATGTGAGAAAGTCACTTAGTGCAGTTGTCAAACTTACCCCATACTTAGCCGAGCAAACCCTGGCAACATGTTGATGAATGAAATGGACATGCTCAAAGTACTGTAGAGAGAAATGTTTCAAATAAAACGTGCATGTCATATTCAGAGTTTCTTCACTGAACTATACAGTAACTAAACTTAATTAGACATTAAAGCACCGGCAATAATTTTGCTTTGGCTTGAAAATAACAGCTAAAAAAACAATTAGCAAATTATTAATGGATCACAATTTTTTTACCTTGGTCAATGGCATTTTGACACCTGGTATAAGCAAAAACTCTTTAATGCAGTTCAGTTTTCCAGGGAACATTTTCCCACCTTGGATGATGGTTACCATGGGGAGGGGGACCTTTGGTACCTGGATAAGACAAGCAGCTTTATTTTTTACTGCTGTAGTTTAGCTTCCAAGTGGTTGGTGGAGATTATAGAGAAGGTAGGGTTAGGTAGTTGGTGGAGATTATTGGTAGAAGGTAGTGGTTAGGTAGTTGGTGATTATTGGTAGAAGGTAGTGGTTAGGTAGTTGGTGGAGATTATAGAGAAGGTAGTGGTTAGGTAGTTGGTGGAGATTATAGAGAAGGTAGTGGTTAGGTAGTTGGTGGAGATTATTGGTAGAAGGTAGTGGTTAGGTAGTTGGTGGAGATTATTGGTAGAAGGTAGTGGTTAGGTAGTTGGTGGAGATTATTGGTAGAAGGTAGTGGTTAGGTAGTTGGTGGAGATTATTGGTAGAAGGTAGTGGTTAGGTAGTTGGTGATTATTGGTAGAAGGTAGTGGTTAGGTAGTTAGTGGAGATTATAGAGAAGGTAGTGGTTAGGTAGTTGGTGGAGATTATAGAGAAGGTAGTGGTTAGGTAGTTGGTGGAGATTATTGGTAGAAGGTAGTGGTTAGGTAGTTGGTGATTATTGGTAGAAGGTAGTGGTTAGGTAGTTGGTGGAGATTATAGAGAAGGTAGTGGTTAGGTAGTTGGTGGAGATTATAGAGAAGGTAGTGGTTAGGTAGTTGGTGGAGATTTTTGACAGAAGGTAGTGGTTAGGTAGTTGATGGAGATTATTGGTAGAAGGTAGTGGTTAGGTAGTTGGTGGAGATTATTGACAGAAGGTAGTGGTTAGGTAGTTGGTGGAGATTATAGAGAAGGTAGTGGTTAGGTAGTTGGTGGAGATTATTGGTAGAAGGTAGTGGTTAGGTAGTTGGTGGAGATTATTGGTAGAAGGTAGTGGTTAGGTAGTTGGTGGAGATTATTGGTAGAAGGTAGTGGTTAGGTAGTTGGTGATTATTGGTAGAAGGTAGTGGTTAGGTAGTTGGTGGAGATTATTGGTAGAAGGTAGTGGTTAGAGATTATTGGTAGAAGATAGGGTTAGGTAGTTGGTGGAGATTATAGAGAAGGTAGTGGTTAGGTAGTTGGTGGAGATTATTGGTAGAAGATAGGGTTAGGTAGTTGGTGGAGATTTTTGACAGAAGGTAGTGGTTAGGTAGTTGATGGAGATTATAGAGAAGGTAGTGGTTAGGTAGTTGGTGGAGATTATTGACAGAAGGTAGTGGTTAGGTAGTTGGTGGAGATTATTGGTAGAAGGTAGTGGTTAGGTAGTTGGTGGAGATTATTGGTAGAAGGTAGTGGTTAGGTAGTTGGTGGAGATTATTGGTAGAAGGTAGTGGTTAGGTAGTTGGTGGAGATTATTGGTAGAAGGTAGTGGTTAGGTAGTTGGTGGAGATTATTGGTAGAAGGTAGTGGTTAGGTAGTTGGTGGAGATTATTGGTAGAAGGTAGTGGTTAGGTAGTTGGTGATTATTGGTAGAAGGTAGTGGTTAGGTAGTTGGTGATTATTGGTAGAAGGTAGTGGTTAGGTAGTTGGTGGAGATTATAGAGAAGGTAGTGGTTAGGTAGTTGATGGAGATTATAGAGAAGGTAGTGGTTAGGTAGTTGGTGGAGATTATTGGTAGAAGGTAGTGGTTAGGTAGTTGGTGGAGATTATTGGTAGAAGGTAGTGGTTAGGTAGTTGGTGATTATTGGTAGAAGGTAGTGGTTAGGTAGTTGGTGGAGATTATTGGTAGAAGGTAGGACAATAATGTAAAGGAATGTAGTAGAGGAATGAACATGTTGTACAATGCCACAGATGTGAGTTACAGTTTACAAATGCTTACACTGTTCCCTGCCAACTTGCAGACATGCTTGTAGGCAGGGACCCCCTGCGTCAGGGCAGAAGTCAAACAAACAGCTTGGCTGACTGCTGAAACTGCCTCACTCCCTTCAGGAAACATTTCAACGGCTTTGTCTTGAACTGAGCCGAATACCATCCCTGATTTGGGTAACTTTGCACTGCCCCTACAAACAAAATTACTTTCATACAGAGCGTGCATCAAGTTTTTTTAGACTCTGTAGAATGAAAATGTGATGCTCATTTAGACCTAGTGATGTAGACTTGCAGGTGATTTTAAAATATCTAAGGAGGCTTATGTGAGGTGATTTCATTAAAATCTTTAACATATTCAATACAAATCTCTAGATATTTGATGTGATTTAATAAAAATGTCTAGATATTTGATGTGATTTATTAAAAATGTCTAGATATTTGATGTGATTTATTAAAAATGTCTAGATATTTGATGTAATTTATTTAAATATCTCTAGATATTTGATGTGATTTATTAAAAATGTCTAGATATTTGATGTGATTTATTAAAAATGTCTAGATATTTGATGTGATTTAATAAAATTCTCTAGATATTTGATGTGATTTTTAAAAAATCTATAGATATTTGATGTTATTTAATAAAAATCTCTAGATATTTGATGTGATTTAATAAAAATCTCTAGATATTTTATGTGGTTTAATAAAAATCTCTAGATATTTGATGTGATTTCATTATAACTCAGACAAGTGTGTGTTATTATTTTCAGAGGTTTTTAACCAAAACAAAATGTCTGGGTAGTTAGTGCCAACTAAATAAAATCAAAACATATTTGTTTTTTTACTGTGGGTTTTTATATGACACTCAATGTGAAGATGTCATGTTACACAGGTTTGGCCATTGAACTGTCAAACTTATCTCAAACTGTTTAGAGACAACTTTGTTTTATATACAGTCATTTAATTAGACACTCTAGCCTACAACACATCAACCAAAAACTGCTGGGTGAATTTTAAAGTTTGAAACACAAGGATTAAACTGTTTAAAAGCAAGCATTGTTCACTGAATATATCTATTATTATTAGCTGTATAATAGATTGACGATAGAAGCATGTGGTTGTATATAACGGGACCACACAGAGAGGAAGGGAGGAAGTACAATGCACAAGGGACATCACTCAAGATAACAATATAAATATAATACTAATACAGAAGAGTGAGTTCCCTTGACCTCACAATTATCTCAATCTATTACATCCCTTTACCCTTAGAACACAATAACACATCTCTCAATAGAACAATTGATAGTATCCTAAAATCACCAATTATATTGTAACATGAACATTATGGTAGATTACATCCTTACAAACAATGCACAATATGTTACAACATAATTAAAATACAAAACAATAATGTCAAAGTCCTCTTGACCTTTAAAATCATAGGTCTAACTTATTTGGGACTTTGATTGTCCTGCTTGACCTTCTCAGTGGCTTTTGATTTGGTGACTCAAGATTCTGACCATCTGGATTCTCTATCTCAGGAGGTCTAGGATTTAAATCATTAACTCCAGAATTTACATTTTCTGACTCCAGACAACTTGGTTCACTCATATCAACAGAACTTGGTTGTGGAACAAACTGAGTTGGTGTGAACTGATCAGATTTGGTGGGATTGACAGATTCACACTTATTATCTGCACAAGTTATTTTTAACTTTATAAGGCACAGGTCCTGTACATTGAACAATTTGACCTGGTATCCATTTTTCCTTTCTCCCATAATTTCTTAGATACACATTCTTATTAACACCAAATTCTCTTTCAATGCATGAGTGGTCATGATTTAATGGAACTATTTTTGAATTGGCATCTGAAAGTATTAAATGGCAAAAAATCTTTTTTTTTTCTTTTGATGTTACCCTTTTAGTTTCTGTAAGTGCTAATGATGTTAGCAAAGTTGTTTGATGATCACATTCCTTCTTACTAATGTATTCTCTTTAAAACATTTGAAATTGCCATATCACCATAATCATTTATTAAGTTACAAATACTTTGTTTAGGCAACTCTGACTGATAATGGACTGCATCTTCTCCATCTTTTATATTATCTTCACAAAGGGTTTTAATTTCTTATTTTATATGGCCTTAAGTCATCATTCACAGACTCTTCAGGCCAACCATTCATACAGTGCTCATATACTTTTATTAAGCACTCATCTTTTTGTGTTTCTCTTTTAATATCATTCACATTTATATTGGAGTTATCCATGATAGTGAAGAGAACAAATACATCTTCTGGTACATAGCTCAGGCTCTGGTTTTTTTAAAGGTAATCTACTAAGACTATCTGCACTATTCTCAGATCCAGGTTTGTATTTCAATTCATAATTGTATGCAGTTAGTGTGATAGCCCATCTTTGAATTCTTGGTGAGGCATGCTCAGGTAGGGTTTTGTTTTCTCCAAATAAACCTAGCAATGGTTTATGATCTGTAAAGATGGTGAACTTCCTACCAAACAGAAACTTATGAAATTTCTTAACACCAAAAATGATGCCTAAGCCTTCCCTATCTAACTGAGAATAATTTTTCTCAGCCTGGTTCAAAGATCTACTGGCAAAAGCAATGGGTCTGTCACCCTTCTCATCCATGTGGGACAAGACTGCTCCTACACCATCTGGTGAAGCATCACATGTTAATATAAGTCTTTTCCCTGGGTCATAGTGAGTTAGTAAGGTGTCAGAAGACAAAGCCTCTTTTGCTGTATTAAAAGCAGTATCTTGTTGTTTACCCCAGTGCCAAGTTGCATTTTTCTGTAGCAGCTTGTACAGTGGTGATAGTTTACCAGACAGATTCCCTATGAACTTTGCATAGTAATTTATCAAGCCCAAAAAAGCTCTTAGTTGTTGGGTATTTTCAGGTTTGGGTGCTTCTTTAATAGCTTTTGTTTTCTCAGGTTGAGGTCTGATGCCTTGTTTGCTCAATATATAACCAAGAAAACTAATTTCTGTCAGCATGAATTGACATTTATCTTTGTTTATCTTTAAACCTTTTTCACCAACAATTTTCAATACTTTATCAAGTGTTTTAAGATGTTCAGTGTCATTCTTACCAGTTATGTACACATTGTCAAAGTACACACAAACATTTGGAATATCCTTAAAAATACTGTCCATGACAGCTTGGAAAATTCCAGGGCTAGATGATATGCCAAAACATAGTCTTTCATATTGGTAGAGTCCTTTATGTGTGTTTATTGTCGTATAGACTTTTGAATCTGGATGCAGTTCTAGTTGAGTGTAAGCGTGACTAAAGTCTAATTCAGTGAATTTGTCTCCTCCTGCCAAATTCAAAGAGATTTCCTCAATGTTAGGTATAGGGTACCTATTTAGCTCTATTTGCTTATTCAGTGTAGTTTTATAATCTCCACAAATTCTTATAGAACCATCCTTCTTTAACACTGGCACAATGGGTGACGCCCAATCGGAATAGTCTACCTTCTTTATGATGCCATTAGATTCCAATCTACTTAGCTCATTTTCAATTTTATTCCTCATTGCATAAGGTGGAACTCTAGCTTTGCAGTATCTTGGATTTGTGTCTTTAATGCTTAACTTCACTGTTCTATCGTTTAGTAATCCAGAGTTACCAAAAACACATTTATTTTCAGATATAACTTTATCTAGTGAAGTAAGACTAGATTCTTTTACATTCTTCAATGAACAAATACTCTCCCAATTTAACTTAAGATCACTTAACCAGTTCCTACCTAGTAATGGTGGTCCATTTCCTTCAACCACAAGAAGAGGAAGTTTAACACTTTGACCATTATAACTTACATGAACCATACACTCTCCTATTACCGGAACATTGTCACCAGTGTATGTTGTTAGACACTTGTGACATGGCTGTAGAGACACTGATCCTCCTGTGACAGCGTCAAAATCTTTCTTTGTTATGACTGTTAGAGATGCTCCAGTGTCAAGTTGGAAGCTGATGCTCTTACCGTTGATATAAACTGGTACATTGATGGGAGCATGACTTATTGATTTCACAGAGAATAGGTTGAAATCCGGCTGCGAATCAGTTTGAGAATTTTCACAGGTAGAGTGGTTCATTGGTTGGGTTAGGTAGTCTTGGTGAGAGTTAACATAGTGCTGCTTTTGGTTGCGGTACTGTCTTGACTGGCTAGATTTAGCAACAGACGAAGACTTTGCAAAGCAGGCCTTGGCAATGTGACCTTGCTTACTGCACTTATAACAAGTTGCAGACTTGAACTTGCACCGATGAGATGCATGGGGACCTTTGCATCGATGACATTTTTGATAATTATTACTAGATTTAGATCTAGGATTTGAACGAGCAGGCTGTTTAGTATAAGTTGGAATGCTCTGATGGGGTTGATGTTTATTGACTAACCTGCTGTTTACTGCATGGATCTCTGAAGGCGTTAGAGATTTCGCCGCATCTGATGACTGCTGGATTGAAGTTGCGAGTTGTATTGCTTTTTCTAATGTTAGATCTGACTCGAGCAGCAACTTTCTTTGAACATCAGGGCTGTTTACACCTGTCACAAACTTTTCACATAGTCTGTCAGACAGCGTGTCTCCGAATTCACAAAATTCACTTAAATGACGTAAAGCAGCAACATATTCTGATATTGACTCGTTTGGTTGACGAGTCCTACTGTCAAATCTAGCTCGACATAAAAACTTTGATGGCACAGGCGCATAGTGGTCTGTTAGCAATTTGCTCAGCTCGTTAAAGCTCTTGGTAGTTAGACTAGCTGGTGCGCATAAGTCTTTTAGTAGCCTAAATTGTTGAGGCCCTATGACTGTTAACAAAACAGCTCTCTTTTTGGCTTCTATCGTCACGTCGTTAGCTTCTAGGTAAAAGCTTAACCTATCTAGGTAATCCTGAATGATTTCATCATTCGAATCAAATTGATTTATTTGGCCATACAGCGCCATTATTCTAGAAATACTTAGCCAATAAGCTCTAGCAAACCTCTTTTTTGCGTAAGTAGGTGCTCTTTCTAGTCGATCTTTATCCTCGTCGCCAGATATAATAGATTGACGATAGAAGCATGTGGTTGTATATAACGGGACCACACAGAGAGGAAGGGAGGAAGTACAATGCACAAGGGACATCACTCAAGATAACAATATAAATATAATACTAATACAGAAGAGTGAGTTCCCTTGACCTCACAATTATCTCAATCTATTACAAGCTGGTTATAGATCTATAAACAATTTCTAATAATTGAACATTTTTCTAATTATAGGGCATAAAATAATAGATTTGTTGAGAATGTAATAAATGTATAGGATGAATGTCTTCTAACAAGCATCTGCCCCAGATAGGGCCTACTGGACCAATTATCTGGAGAACATTTAGGACAGCCTTCAATAACTTCAATGGAAGAAATAAATTGGAACCCTTTCACTCACTCATCTCAAACTTAAACTATTTATCCATATTTTGTTTTGGAGTAAAAACAAACTGTTTAATGTTTTGATTGATTATTTTTAACAAATTGAAATTTAATTTTATACTAAGTTTTGTTGTTTTGAGGTTAAAGGTGAAACTGTAAGGTTTCAATTTTAGAAATATAAATAAAAATAAAAGCTTAATAAGCATTAAAAGTGAATCAATTCACAGTTAGATTATATTTTAAATGTAAACTCTTATTAAGAAAAACAGTAACAATTGTTTCAACAAAATACACGCTCAAATCTAATAAAACACAAAGAACAGTTTTAAAACATTAAAAAAAAATTAGTTCAAAGTATAAAAAAACTAATTTGTTTTTTCTATTTTATTTTACTTACAAGTCCCTTTAAAATGTAACAGAAGAAATAAGGTGATTGGTTTTTAAAATCATAATGTAAATATATCACCTATATATAAATATATATATATATATATATATATATAGGCATATATATTTAAACAGAATGAGAATGTATTTATAATGTATTTTTGAAAATTGTTTTGGATTGAAACCAATCAAAAATAAAATATGTGCGTATTAATAAATGTGTGTCTCTAGACTGAAATAGAAAAAATGCTTCTGATAAATTTGTTTAATACTGGCTGTTCTTTTAAATTGATTTATAAACAACTATCAGGCACTAACAGTTTTGAGTACATAAAAGAACACTTTCAAATGTAGTTAAAACACAACAATGTTTTTACCATGGCCAATGAAATGTCACATACAAAACTATACTACATAAATAGCTGAATGAGGCCTGTAGACTTTCTTACAGTACTTACCTGGATTGTTTTTTCTTTAAAGTAGTGGCTGGTAAAACTGGAGATGGTATTTGTTCCACACATTTCTCTGATTCTTTTTTTTTAAGTTGTATCTGTTTCTGATCCTCCATAAATGAACTGAAACAATTTTTGTCACTCACAATTTTTTTTTTCTTTGCTTACTAATTGCTGGAGATTTTTAATTTTTGAGATATTTTTTAAAATTTAGGATGATTGTAGACTGTAATTGTGACAACAAAATGTGAATTAACAATAAAATGTAACGTTGCCCTTTTTCGGAATTTATAGATCTCAATGTTTTAGAAGACTTTTTTTATAAACCTAAAAATAAAAAAGATTATAGACCTAAATCTTTACCAAGATTTATAGACAAAAAATATGTTTCAAGATTTAAAGACATAAAAATAATTTTTTTTAAAGATTTATACACCTAAAATAATTTTTTTTTTAATTTATATAACTAAAAATAAATATTTTGCAAATATTATACACGTAAAATAAATATTTTTCAAAATTTATGGACCTAAAAATAAATATTTAGCAAATATTATAGACCTAAAAATAAATATTTTGCAAATATTATAGTCCTAAAAATAAATATTTTGCAAATATTATAGATCTAAAATTAATATTTTACAAATATTATACAACTAACCAAAAGTCTCCTCTACTGATCCTATGTGGTGAGCACTATGCACATTCACTTTATAAAGCAACACATTTGTAGTCAGTGTCATTCACTTTATAAAGCAACACATTTGTAGTCAGTGTCATTCACTTTATACAGCAACACATTTGTAGTCAGTGTCATTCACTTTATACAGCAACACATTTGTAGTCAGTGTCATTCACTTTATACAGCAACACATTTGTAGTCAGTGTCATTCACTTTATACAGCAACACATTTGTAGTCAGTGTCATTCACTTTATACAGCAACACATTTGTAGTCCGTGTCATTCACTTTATCCAGCAACAGATTATAGTCAATGTCATTTTTATTGTTGTCACATTATGCAGCCACAAATTAAGTTTAAACAAAGAAAAGACTTACATAAGGAGAGCATCAATTTCTGTTTGGTTTTGTGGGTTTTTCCCCTTGAGGAGATTATTTAAATCTGATTGGACGAAGCTAGCGGCAGCTTTGAGAGAGGCTCTGGCCTCCAGTTCTGCCTTGTCTCGATCTTCTAAGTGGTGGCCCAGGTTAGGGCAGGCAATCAGTGAAGTGCTGATCAACTAAACAAAACAATCAGTGACATATAGCAGGTTAGGGCAGTCAATCAGTGAAGTGCTGATCAACTAAACAAAACAATCAATGACATATAGCAGGTTAGGATAGGCAATCAATGAAGTGCTGATCAACTAAACAAAACAATCAATGACATATAGCAGGTTAGGGCAGGCAATCAGTGAAGTGCTGATCAACTAAACAAAATAATCAATGACTTATAGCAGGTTAGGGCAGGCAATCAGTGAAGTGCTGATCAACTAAACAAAATAATCAATGACTTATAGCAGGTTAGGGCAGGCAATCAGTGAAGTGCTGATCAACTAAACCAGGGGTCTCCAAACTACGGCCCGCGGGCCGTATGCGGCCCGCGAGGTCATTTCATCCGGCCCGCGACGATCTTTTTGTCCACTGAATAAATTTGTTAAAGGTTACTGAGGAAATTTGCACAGAAAATTCAAAACAATTTGAAAATGTAGCTTTGGGTGCAAATACCATTGCCCGCCGTATTGCAGACATTGGTGAAAACATCGTGACTCAAATAGCAAAAATGCAAGCAAGCTTCGCCATTTTTCAATTGCAATGGATGAGTCGCTGGACAGTTGTTCCACCACTCAACTTCTTGTGTTTATTAGAGGTATGGATGAAGACAAGAACATAACACAAGAGCTGGCTTCCCTACATAGAATGTATGACACTGTTAACGAAGAAGATATCTAACCATAGATAGTTCAGAGACAAACACAAAATTGCAAGATTTGCCATATTTCACATCAGTAAGATGGCTAATTTTGCGAGAAAGTTCTGAGCAGAGTATTTAAGAAAAGAAAGGAAATAGGTGACTTCCTGAAAAGTAAAGGCAAGCCATTGCCATTAATGTCTGATGAAGAGTGGGTATAGAAATTGGCCTATGCTGCAGACATAACAAGTCTTTCAAATTTTCTGAACCTAAAAGCGGCAAGAGAGGCCTTCAGACTTGTCATGTTTTTGGAGCAAGTACATTTTCAAGAATGAAATACAATAAGAACAATTTGAGAGCAAACTTGGACCTCCGACTTTTTTCTTCAGTGTGGGGGGGGGGGGGGGGTGGAACACTTGAAATTTGTATATATTTATATATAAATTATATTTCGTTGGGGGGGGGGGATGGAGCGGGCGGCGGGAGATAGACGTTCTTCGGGGGGGGGGGGGGGGGGGAGGGGGTGAAGGGGGCGCAACACCAACCCGAAGAGATGCCTTAAAAATCTCTGGCCCCCGAGCTGATATTTGATAGTTAATGCGGCCCTCGGGCTGAAAAGTTTGGAGACCCCTGAACTAAACAAAACAATCAATGACATATAGCAGGTTAGGGCAGGCAATCAGTGAAGTGCTGATCAACTAAACAAAACAATCAATGACATATAGCAGGTTAGGGCAGGCAATCAGTGAAGTGCTGATCAACTAAACAAAACAATCAATGACTTATAGCAGGTTAGGACAGGCAATCAGTGAAGTGCTGATCAACTAAACAAAACAATCAATGACATATAGCAGGTTAGGGCAGGCAATCAGTGAAGTGCTGATCAACTAAACAAAACAATCAATGACTTATAGCAGGTTAGGGCAGGCAATCAATGACATATAGCAGGTTAGGGCAGGCAATCAATGACATATAGCAGGTTAGGCCAGGCAATCAGTGAAGTGCTGATCAACTAAACAAAACAATCAATGACATATAGCAGGTTAGGGCAGGCAATCAGTGAAGTGCTGATCAACTAAACAAAACAATCAATGACATATAGCAGGTTAGGGCAGGCAATCAGTGAAGTGCTGATCAACTAAACAAAACAATCAATGACTTATAGCAGGTTAGGACAGGCAATCAGTGAAGTGCTGATCAACTAAACAAAACAATCAATGACATATAGCAGGTTAGGGCAGGCAATCAGTGAAGTGCTGATCAACTAAACAAAATAATCAATGACTTATAGCAGGTTAGGACAGGCAATCAGTGAAGTGCTGATCAACTAAACAAAACAATCAATGACATATAGCAGGTTAGGGCAGGCAATCAATGAAGTGCTGATCAACTAAACAAAACAATCAGTGACATATAGCAGGTTAGGGCAGGCAATCAATGACATATAGCAGGTTAGGCCAGGCAATCAATGACATATAGCAGGTTAGGGCAGGCAATCAATGACATATAGCAGGCAATCAATGACATATAGCAGGCAATCAATGACATATAGCAGGTTAGGGCAGGCAATCAATGACATATAGCAGGTTAGGGCAGGCAATCAATGACAGGACAGGGATGTAAATAACAGGAGACAAATTTTGAAAGGCTCTGAGTTAAAACACAAATATACATGACGCAGGAATGTGTGGCAACAAATGTGGAGTGTGTGGCAACAAATGTGGAGTGTGTGGAAACAAATGTGAACTGTGTGGCAACAAATGTAGACTGTGTGGCAACAAATGTGGATTGTGTGGAAACAAATGTGAACTGTGTGGCAACAAATGTGGAGTGTGTGGCAACAAATGTGGAGTGTGTGGCAACAAATGTAGACTGTGGCAACAAATGTGGAGTGTGTGGCAACAAATGTGGAGTGTGTGGCAACAAATGTGAAGTGTGGCAACAAATGTGGAGTGTGTGGCAACAAATGTGGACTGTGTGGCAACAAATGTGGAGTGTGTGGCAACAAATGTGGAGTGTGTGGCAACAAATGTGGAGTGTGTGGCAACAAATGTGGACTGTGTGGCAACAAATGTGGACTGTGTGGCAACAAATGTGGATTGTGTGGCAACAAATGTGGACTGTGGAAACAAATGTGGAGTGTGTGACAACAAATTTGGAGTGTGGCAACAAATGTGGAGTGTGTGACAACAAATGTGGAGTGTGTGGCAACAAATTTGGAGTGTGGCAACAAATGTGGAGTGTGTGACAACAAATGTGGAGTGTGTGGCAACAAATGTGGTGTGTGTGGCAACAAATGTAGACTGTGTGGCAACAAATGTGGATTGTGTGGCAACAAATGTGGACTGTGGAAACAAATGTGGAGTGTGTGGCAACAAATGTGAAATCTGTGGCAACAAATGTAGACTGTGTGGCAACAAATGTGGATTGTGTGGAAACAAATGTGAACTGTGTGGCAACAAATGTGGAGTGTGTGGCAACAAATGTGGAGTGTGTGGCAACAAATGTAGACTGTGGCAACAAATGTGGAGTGTGTGGCAACAAATGTGGAGTGTGTGGCAACAAATGTGGACTGTGTGGCAACAAATGTGGATTGTGTGGCAACAAATGTGGACTGTGGAAACAAATGTGGAGTGTGTGACAACAAATTTGGAGTGTGGCAACAAATGTGGAGTGTGTGACAACAAATGTGGAGTGTGTGGCAACAAATTTGGAGTGTGGCAACAAATGTGGAGTGTGTGACAACAAATGTGGAGTGTGTGGCAACAAATGTGGTGTGTGTGGCAACAAATGTAGACTGTGTGGCAACAAATGTGGATTGTGTGGCAACAAATGTGGACTGTGGAAACAAATGTGGAGTGTGTGGCAACAAATGTGAAATCTGTGGCAACAAATGTGGAGTGTGTGGCAACAAATGTGGAGTGTGTGGCAATAAATGTGGAGTGTGTGGCAACAAATGTGGAGTGTGTGGCAACAAATGTGTAGTGTGTGGCAAGAAATGTGGAGTGTGTGGCAACAAATGTGGAGTGTGTGGCAACAAATGTGGAGTGTGTGGCAACAAATGTGGAGTGTGTGGCAACAAATGTGGAGTGTGGCAACAAATGTGGACTGTGTGGCAACAAATGTGGAGTGTGTGGCAACAAATGTGGAGTGTGTAGCAACAAATGTGGAGTGTGTGGCAACAAATGTGGAGTGTGGCAACAAATGTGGACTGTGTGGAAACAAATGTGGAGTGTGTGGCAACAAATGTGGAGTGTGTGGCAACAAATGTGGAGTGTGTGGCAACAAATGTGAACTGTGTGGCAACAAATGTGGAGTGTGTGGCAACAAATGTGGAGTGTGTGGCAACAAATGTGGAGTGTGTGGCAACAAATGTGGAGTGTGTGGCAACAAATGTGGACTTTGGAAACAAATGTGGAGTGTGTGGCAACAAATGTGGACTGTGTGGCAACAAATGTGGAGTGTGTGGCAACAAATGTGGAGTGTGTGGCAAGAAATGTGGAGTGTGTGGCAACAAATGTGGAGTGTGTGGCAACAAATGTGAAGTGTGTGGCAACAAATGTGAAGTGTGTGGCAAGAAATTTGAGCAATTTACCTTTGGGTTATTGTTAACTGTACAAAAAACATTTGTTTGAATAGTGGGCATTCCCAGACCATCATACGCTGCCATGGCTGAGATCTACAAGAATAAATTTTCTTACATCAAGGAAAACATCAGTTGCAAGCTAATACAGCTACTTACATGTTCTTAATCAAGGGACTGTTATTTGAAGTTACATATGATAAGCTCATTAAGTGATTGTCTTTCCTAAAATTTAAAAACCATTTCATCATAGCCCAACCTAAATTAATTACTAATTACCTACCTCACTAATTACCTACCTCACTAATTATCTACATCGCTAATTACCTACCTCACTAATTACCTACCTCACTAATTACCTACCTCACTAATTACTGCTGGCTGAGTAAGTCTACTAAAGCTGCTAGCCTAGAGATTTAAAAAAAACTTCAGTTGAAAATATCACAAAAAAACTTAACATTATAAGCTGAGAAAAATGGATTATAATAATTATTTTTTTTTACAAGTGGACTATGTGTGGTTGTATTAGGTGAGACAAGTGTATAAGTTAGTTTGTCAGAAATTACCAAATAGCCATAAGGGTCAGTTGGATTCTCAAAGAACATTTTGTTGAGTATTTCCTCTATCTTTGTTGGAATTCCATTTTCTTTGAAATAAGCCATTGCTTTAAGTCTTAAAGCATTCAAGTCTTTTTTCTCCTTGACAGCTGATGCCATTGCCTAGTCAAATAAAAATTGTATTGTATAAGGCCAACATAAACATACAAATATAAATATATACCCTTACATTGGGGAACTATTTAGGTGCTACAGTGGCAGGCAGTGTAAAATATATCCAAATCCCATGATCAGAACACCGGTTCTGTTTAGGTCTGAGGGTTTTATTTAATTAACTCATTCTTCTTCGTTCTTAATTATTTAGTGTTGGAAGTGATCGGCCATTATCTGCCAGAGGCTTCAAACTTGATTCTTTATCAAATTTAACAACCATGAGCTTTACCGACTCTACCACTCCTCTAACACAATTAAGTATGTGTCAACTGGTTATGCACCATTGACTCCAATTTCATCCTGCTTTTCTTTTTGAATTTGCTTCCATAACCTTTTTCCAAACAAGAACAAACTACAAGGCAGCAGTTGTTTGATTTGGGAGTTGTCTCTCCTAGAAGAGTGGCTATCCCCAGCTTACAAGCCTCATCTGCCCGAGGGTTCAAACTCGAGAGTTTTCGGTTTAGCAACCATGAGCTTTACTGACTCGACCATGCCGACCCCAATGAACTCATTGATTAGTTAAAGTCTGAGGGTTTTATTTCATGAACTCTTCTTTCTTAATAGTCTAAGGTAGATGAGGAAACTATGGGGTGCCAGAGAAAATAGTTAACATTATTGTGGCCTCATATGAAGGTCTATATGGCCAGCACTGGCCTTCCCCGTATGCACTGGAGAAAGCCAATGTTGCCAATTGTCAACATTCTTGCTGGCCATTGACTGGATCACGAAGATGTCCACAGAGAAAAGAGAAACAGTCTACAGCTGGATGACCTGGACTTATACTTGGTCCTCCTTTCTCAACCACAGCAGCAATTGCAAGATAAAGCCAACGTCTTTCTAATTTTTTGACATTCACTAACAGAGTCAATGTGTCAAGCAGAAACTGGCAGCCGAAGGAGAGATCATCCACAGAGATTAGAGATGGATTGGCCACACCATCAGAAAGTATTGTCAAGTAATGTCCAGTGTAACAAGACACAAAGTTGATCTATCATCTGACCTGAAGGCTAATGCTGTACTAGCTTTGCAAGGACTAGATCTAGTCTTGATCTAGCTTTTATTTATTTTTTGTTTTTTTTTACATGGGCCTACCTTTTTTAAGTAACTTGTAGCTTCGGGTAATAATCAGGAACTCCTGTCTGATCTAATTTTAGTTTTTAGATAATTTGGGTAGATCTAAATATTTTTGGCTTATGACATGTGCGATCTAGTGAATAGATTACATATAATTATAGGGCCTTATACATAAGCCTAAAATCTAAAATGATAAATTACCATATAATTTATATAGTATAGTATATAGTACTATATAGGCCTAAGCCTAATGAATTAATTACTAATTACAGAATCTCAAAGTTTATGCATAGTTTATATAGTTATAGTAATATATAGAATATAATAATAATTAATATATATATAGTTTATAACTTTAAAGAGTAATATAAAATTAAATTTTAACGTAGTAGCAGTATTGACATGATTATATTAATTACTTTAACTTTAATTATTAGTCACTCAATGAATTGCGTAACTAACTATATTAGACTATAACTAAGTTTAAACTAAGTTAGAGGCCTGGGACTGGTGGACGGTAAAAAATGTCAGATGTCTCAATCATGTCTCAGACTGAGGTCACTGAGTTGAGACATCTTCAGTTCCAGGGCTCAGGGACAATGAACAATCAATGGTTAACTAACTTAAACTAGAAAATATTTATTTTTAAATATTTTAGTCTACAGACAAATTCAACGTACTATGCTACAGTTGTTTTACTTTTAATGTAAGGCTACTTTTAAATACTTTCTCTTATTAAACTATAATCTGCAGACAGTGAAACAGCTGTTTCGTTTCCAAGGAAATGAGGCTTTTGTATATAATTTTGCGACATTCTATAATTCTATTTTAGTACTCAGTTCCTGGTTATTACTTTTACGACATTACTACCAATTCGCGTCTTTAGCGACCGATCACAATATAAATGCCAAGAAAAATTCTCAGTAAGAACATAAACACACTTGAACTATTCTACATATCTAAATTTCGCGTACATGAGTACATAAAAAGAGTAAACAATGAATAATTATAATAGCAATGTTAATACCAATGTTTAAATACTAGGCCGATGCGTATTTATTAAATTAATTAGGCCTAAAGTCTTAAAGAGACTTTTTTAGTAAAGTTCTAAAACTAAAGACTAAAGGAAAGGCTAGCCTAAATACAACTAAACTTTAGAATGCAGTTCAGTAATCTAAAAACTGAGAAATTCTAACTAATTACTAATGTGACTCTAACTACTCACTAGATCTATCACTAAAAAAAACTACTTAAAAAAGGCGATAGCTAGTAGATCGGTAATCTATCGTTTTGGGTACGTAAAATCGCCCGCGATTTGTAATGTGAAAAACAGGTGACTCCTTAAATTTTAATAATTATTTCACATTTTGAGGAGGATTTATGTTTTAAAAAATTCAAAAATGTTTCCTTGATTCATTTATGTACCTGTTTTTAAAAAATTGAATTAAAACTTTTCCGTAATAAATGAAGACTAGCGATGTTTCCAACAGATGCAACCATGCTCATTTACTATAGCAGCCATCTTGTCTAAGTTTTATTTTTATAAGCTTTTAGCGCCAGATTCAGGGGGAAGCCACTCTATTTTACAAATGGCTGCTGTTTATATAGCAAATCTTGCTCTCAGACACTGCTGTTTAAAGTTAATTTCTGGCCTATATCGATATATTTAGCCATTGATTTAGGTTTATTATTCATTTATCTATAATATTTGACACAAAAGTATGACAATATACTTCTATTAAAGCCTTGACAATGAGGTAACGTTTTCGTACATAAATAGCCGCGGGCGATTTTACGTACCCAAAAAGATAGATTACCAGTAGATCTACTAGATCTAGCTGCTGCTATATTGCCAATTAATTTATTGCCCTATTTTATAAAGTTATTTAGTAATATTTAGTTTAGTATCTTCTTCATTTTTAATTTTGGTGTTGGAAGGGATCCCCTCCAACACAATGCACGTGAGCGAAAAGGTATTCGAGAGGCCCATTAATTAATTTAAAAATCATGCATGGCATAGTTACAATTAATATGGTTATAAAATTCTGTCTGTCTGTTTTTTTCGGACTTTAAAGATTGAATGTATTTGGTGTTTTTAATATTTTCGGTAACTAAATAAAAATTTAAAAAAAGCAAAAACAATTTGGTTTTCACGTGTAATGGCGACATAAACAATGGTATCTTGCTATAGGCTGCCATAAATTTTATTGTACACATTGTAAGCCTAAAAAAAGAAAAACTAGGTCATGGGGTTTAAATTTGCATTGTTATTTAAAAACTTTATCTGCAAAGTTTTGTAAACAAATAATTATCGATCACAGAGTTCCTGTACAGCCAATCAATATATGTCTTACGAAAGTGAAACATCCGGTTATAACTTTGGCTTGATGAAAATAAAGAAATGTAACCTTAAACTCAACAAATTATTTTCAAGTTCTCTGGATTTGCAACTTTTATAGCATTGATTCTAAAAAATGAAAATTTCTGAATTAATTTTAGGCTTAAGTTTTTATTGTTACGGTGGCTTTGTTTGCTAAATCTAAAAAAAAAGCATGTTTTTACTCCATGTCAACAACATGATGGAAGGATTCTCGTCAACTCGTTCGCATCCATTGACAATTAGTATACATGTCAACTGGTTATGGGCCATTGTGGCCATCGACTCCAATTTCAGCCTGCTTTTCTTTTTGGATTTGCTTCCATAGCCTTTGTCCAACCGAGAACAAACTACAAGGCAGCAGTTGTTTAATTTTGGAGTTGTCTCTCCTAGAAGAGTGGCTGTTCCATCCTCATCTGCCCTCATTGAGACTTTTAGCGACCATGAGCTTTACTGACTCGACCACGCCAACCCCTTAGTTTATTATAATATTAATAATAAATAAGCCTAATGTACAGTATTGCATAGCCAAATAGGGGGCTTGAAAATTGTTGCCAAATTTATTTATATATTAAAAAAAAACTATTTATTTATAATTGCATTTTTTTTTACCATTGTTAAGACCGAGTTCTATTTCCCCTACAATCAAACACACAAACAGTTCATTGCTCAAGAAGCCACTTGATATGTAGTATCATGATGTATGGTACCTCTTTGTGGCATTGGGGGCCATTGGTTAGGGGCCCGAAATCCTTTGCACATTTTTCAATGTAAAATAGTGTTTGTGATATCGGTATAATTTCACCCTATACTATCCTGTAACCTACATATAATTAAAAAAGAATGTAGTACTACTAACTTTGGTTTATATATGTTTCTTTGTTTTTGTTTTTACAAGAAATGTGATAGTAAGCTTGTATACTTTGAATTTATCTCCCTTGAATAAGTTTTATAGTAGGCTTTGAGAAAATTAGTTGTAGCCATCCCTAACTGACTGACATCAGTGCTTTGATGTTCCTATCAAGTTCTTTCTGAGCTGACCGCCATCCCACCCCTCTTTCTTAGCCTCGCTAGTTTCAAATAGATAAATGTATCCTTTGTTAACTTCCTAAATGACATCATTTAGGGTTGAGGGTCTGGCTTTTTGTAAATAGTTTTAAAAAGTGTGACATCATTTGTGGATGGCTCTTAAACCAGAAGGTTATCCGAAGTTTGAGCTGACCACTACAGTTGTACATGTGAAAGGCATGCTTCTGTCTTTTATGCATTACTACATCATTCATCAGATTGCCATGAAACACGTTGGGAAGTTGTTGCGTAAGCCCCCGCAAAGGTTTCTGCCTTAAGCCTAACATGATTAATTGTCCGAGGTCAACCACACAGTTTTCAAATGTGTGGTCGACCATTTTTTTCATTTTTAAAAAACTTTTTTCTTTCAAAAAAAAGTAATTAGACACTTTTTAAATTACTCTTTAATTTGCTCAGTAAATGTACACTACAACAGTGCTAAAGATCTTAGGAATTAGGACAGCAAGATAAATATAGCATTTAACAGTATTCTCAATATTTTTCGATGTCTTGCAAGTGGTTACATTATTTACCTGTAGTTCCACAGGTAATATATCACCTTTCTTTTAGCATTATACTGCCATTTCTTTTAGCGTTATACTGCCATTTCTTTTAGCGTTATACTGCCATTTCTTTTAGCGTTATACTGCCCTTTCTTTTAGCATTATACTGCTTCGCCCTTTCAGGTTTTACAATTTACTGCCCCACCCGACTTAAAACAATTAATTTCAGAGCTCAAATAGTTCAAGAGACCATCCATGTCTGCATCTTGCTGCCTGCAGTGCCTTATGTGATTTCACTGATTTTGTTTTCTTCAAATTGAGCTTAGGTATTTTCTTACGTACAAGTACACTTAAGTTTTAGCTAAAAAAATTTTTAATGTTTTTGTGACTTGATGATTTTTGCAGGAATGCAACAAAAGAAATTGAAATGCCATTAAGTCACTCCAAGACACGAACAAGCTCAAGCCTATCAGACTTCACTCAGGGGATGTCACTCCGAAGGCGAAGAACCAAAATAACAACAGAGAAAAAAATAGCAGATGATGAGTTTATGGCTGCAGCTATTGGTGATCCTGAATGGCTGAAGCAAAGTTTAAAAGATGCTGGACCAGAATTGAACTTTGACAAAAATGTAAATATGGTCTACTCTAGCTTTTTATTGATCTAACAAAAAAAGGTCATAAGCCAACCCCAAACCTCCCCCTTCCTTAAAATGATGTCAGAAAATATCATCGCCTTGTTAACATTAATTCTAACAAAAATGAAAGAATTTTTTTGTCTGACCATTAAAAAAAATTCAATGACAATCTTTTTACCACCTCTCAAATGAGTCAATACTGACAGCAATCAGAAAACCAAATGCTTCCTATTTTCAGGGCTTGACAGCTCTCCACTTGTCAGCAATACACGGACGTCTAGAGTGCCTGAAACTGTGCATTGAAAAGTTTAAAATTGACGTTAACCTTCCCAGCAAAACTGGCTGGAGGCCTGTACACCTTTGTATCAGTAACCAAACCGGCAAACGCTCACTGCAGTGTTTGCTCTACCTCCTAGAGAATGGAGCAGATCCATCTATGTAAGTTAGTGGAGCAGATCCATCTATGTAAGTTAGTGGAGCAGATCCATCTATGTAAGTTAGTGGAGCAGATCCATCTATGTAAGTTAGTGGAGCAGATCCATCTATGTAAGTTAGTGGAGCAGATCCATCTATGTAAGTTAGTGGAGCAGATCCATCTATGTAAGTTAGTGGAGCAGATCCATCTATGTAAGTTAGTGGAGCAGATCCATCTATGTAAGTTAGTGGAGCAGATCCATCTATGTAAGTTAGTGGAGCAGATCCATCTATGTAAGTTAGTGGAGCAGATCCACCTATGTAAGTTAGTGGAGCAGATCCATCTATGTAAGTTAGTGGAGCAAATTCAGCTATGTAAGTTAGTGGAGCAGAACCATCTATGTAAGTTAGTGGAGCAGATCCATCTATGTAAGTTAGTGGAGCAGATCCATCTATGTAAGTTAGTGGAGCAGATCCATCTATGTAAGTTAGTGGAGCAGATCCATCTATGTAAGTTAGTGGAGCAGATCCATCTATGTAAGTTAGTGGAGCAGATCCATCTATGTAAGTTAGTGTGTAACGTTAACCTATCTATCAGCCAAATAGAAGGAGAACGTCCCCGGATTCTTTTTTCGGGGTCATATGCAAATGCCTTACGGCCTAAGTGGATGAACACTTAACACAACGACACACTAGGGCTCGCATTCAATGTCTAGGGAAACTAGTGATACTATTGTAATTAACACTCATCCAATCTACATACGACCTTTTAATCAGCGAACTCAGAAGTGGCAGAACACAAGGTTGAACTAAATAAAATATTTAATGTATAAAATATCAAAACCCAACTTACACAATGTAGGAAAAAACACTATCACAGATTTCTACACTGTCTAAAAAACAGCTACAGGCCACACAACACTGCTGTAGTTTCTAGAATTACTTAGCGACAAGTAATATTAAACTAGAAGACTAAATCAACTGAAGAAAGCAAGGCACACACAGGTCTTAAGTACTCTCACGTTCAAATGGTCAGAGTCTATAGCCGGACAATATGGACGGCTGCCTGATCAAGGTAAAACGGCCTCGTAGACTGCCAGGTCAAGATAAACTGCCTCGTGTTGAGGGTGTGCAGTGTAATTAAAGACTTCTGTGACAGGGGAGGTTATCCTCAACTCATGTCGCCATTGGTTGGGATAATCATCTGATCAGAATCATTCAATCAGATTTTAATGGAAAATTTTCTATGTCTCAAACACCTTAATAGTCAATGGAAAAACCCCAGGTGTTACACCATCATTCCATATAAGGAATTATACAATGTCAAAATAAAAATGACTCGACCTAAGTAGGTCACATCCCCTCCCTTTTTGGAAGTGACAGATAGGTTCCACAAAAACATACACAAGGAACCAATCTGGCAATGAAATAACAAAAATGTTTTACAAATGTAGGCAATCAAAATCATAATACCAGATGAAAATATCCCTGAACATCAAAGGGAAGTAACTCCAACTTTTACAATTGGTGAAAGGGGAGTAACCCTTCAAAAGGTAATTATACATCAAAATCCCTCAAAAAAGGATATTACAATATTTCCATGAGAATATTAAAAGTGGTAAACCCGCCAGGGTAAGACCTTTATTTCAATGACTAGCTACAATATCAATTGAGTCATATGAGACATATTATTATAAAAGATTACATATAATCAAAAACCACCTTTAATTAAGGTTCACCTGAAAATAAACAAAATATTCAACAGGATTGGAATTTTGAAAAAAAATTCAAAACTCACACCACTCATTTTCATATGAGTGACACTCAAACAAAACCTGTTTATGGTCCTAATGAACCACAAAGCATGTCACATGATCAAAGTGTACAATAAGATTTTACATCCTTGACAAACAATCAGCCACAACATTATCACTACCCTTAATGTGTGAAATTTCCAGATTAAAATTTTGGAAATATAAGCACCATCTCAATATTCTTTGATTTGTCTGTCCTAACTTAGAGGTAAATTTCAGGGGATCATGGTCAGAAAACACTCTGACTGGATTGGTTGAAGAAGAGACATAGACTTCAAAATGTTGTAATGATAAAACCAAAGCTAAAGCTTCTTTTTCAATAGTAGAATAATTCTTTTGGTTTTCATTTAACTTCCTGGAAAAAAAGGCAATGGGATGGTCAATTCCCATATTGTCTTCTTGAAATAGGACTGAGCCAATGGCTAAGTTGCTAGCATCAATGGCAAGTTTAAAGGGTTTGCTAAAATTTGGTGCAGCCATAACAGGAGCATTAGATAAAAATGACTTAATGGTTAAAAAAGCTTCTTGACATTTATTGGACCATTCAAATTTAACACCCTTTTTCAATAATGCAGTAAGAGGTTCAGCAATAGCTGAAAAGTTTTGACAGAACCGCCTATAGTAACCAGCCATCCCAAGGAACTTTTTGATCTCTTTACAATTTTTGGGAGGTGGCAACTTTACAATAGCATCTACTTTAGCTTCAATGGGCCGAACTTGGTTCGTTCCCACTTGATAACCCAAATAGGTAATTGAAGCTTTACAGAAATCACTTTTATGTAAGTTTACAGTAAAATTAACTTCAGACAATTTTCTAAAAAGGTTAGTCAATTGAACAATATGTTCTTCAAAAGTATTAGAAAATACAACTATATCATCTATGTAGGCCTCACATTGGTCTATGTCAGCAATGACAGAGTTAATGACTCTCTGGAAAGTTTGACCAGCATTTCGCATACCAAAGGGCATACGTTTGTATCTATAAAAACCATTAGGGGTTACAAAAGCAGATATTTCTTTTGCACGGTCAGATAAGGGGATTTGCCAGTATCCTGAAAGTAAATCAATTTTGGAAATTATCTTAGCTTGACCAACTTTATCAATAACGTCTTCTATCCGAGGTAAAGGATAAGAATCAGCTTTGGTGAGCGCATTCACCTTCCTAAAGTCGGTCACAAACCTGAAAGATCCACCGTCTTTCGGGACTAGGAGACATGGGGAACTCCAGTTGCTGAAACTGGGCTCAATGATATCATTCTTGAGCATATAATCAATTTCATCTTTTATCAAAGCAGCTTTTTCCGGGTTAACTCTATAGGGGTGTTGTTTAATGGGTTTTGCGTCACCAACGTCTACATCATGAGGTGGAACCTTCGCTTCTTTGGGGACATCCCCAAAAATAGAGGGAAATGTCTCAAATAACTGAGACAATCTATGGCTTTCCTCTGTGGACAAATGCATAAGGTGGACATTCAAATTATCTAAAAAGGAAGAATTTACCAATTTTGGGGGTTTCAATTTATCATGTATCACATCATCAGAAACATTTGAACATACAGGTAAAGTAATTTTAGCTGTGGATTGAAAATTGTTACCATTACCATAATACTTTTTCAGTGAGTTGACATGATACACTGTCTGTTTCTTTCTTCTGTCGGGCGTATTGACAACATAGTTCAAATCACTTAATTTTGAATGCACAGTAAAGGGTCCACAATATCTCAAGGATAACGCATTGTTCAGATTAGGTACTAGCACAAGAACTTTGTCGCCTGGATTGAATGTTCGTTTACAAGAACTCTTATCATACAGTTCTTTCATTCTAACTTGGGCCTTTCTTAAGTTCTTGTGAGCCATTTCGCACACGGCTTTCAGTCGAACGTGAAAATCGTCGAAGTTTTCCACTGGATGATCACTGGTACCTGTCCAACGTTCGTGTATCAGCTTCAGGGGGCCACGGACAGAATGTCCAAACACAAGTTGAAAAGGCGAGTAGCCTAAAGAGTCCTGGACACAGTCCCTCGCGGCGAAAATAATCCAAGGAACAGACTCATCCCATTGGGTGTTACTGTTAGCGAATGTCCTTAGCATGGTTTTGAGGGTTTGGTGGAACCTCTCAAGTACGCCTTGAGACTGAGGGTGGTAGGCTGAGCTGGTGATGTGGGTAACGCCTAGCTTGGCTAGCGCTTCCTGAAAATGGTGACTGGTGAAGTTGCTGCCTTGATCTGTTTGCACGATTCTAGGTAATCCAAAGGTAGTGAAGAACCGGGTCATGGCTCTGACTACAGTCTTTGCCTTAATGTTCCGTAAGGGAATCGCCTCGGGAAAACGGGTACTTGAACACATAAAGGTAAGTAGGTACTCGTTGCCCGCCTTGGTTTTAGGCAAGGGACCTACACAGTCCATGACGATTTTAGAAAAGGGTTCTTCTAATACAGGAATCGGACTCAAAGGGGCCTTAGGAATTGTCTGGTTTGGCTTTCCGGCCAACTGACAGTTCGTGCAACTTCTACAGTAACGCGACACATCTTTTCTCATTTTGGGCCAAAAGAACAGTTCTTTGATCTTAGCCGTCGTTTTAGTGACTCCTGGGTGCGCTGACATTGGATGGTCATGTGCCAGCTTAAGTATTTCATGCCGATAAGGTGGAGGGATCCACAGCTGGTTTTTACCCAACCATGGTTCGGCTGGTGAGGCAATCACTGATATAGCGCGACGAAAGAAGAGGCCGTTCTCGGAGAAATATTCTCCATCGTCAGATGATAGAGATTTTTCGACCGTTGCTTTGAGTTCCGCGTCGACTTGTTGAGCTTTAATGATGTCTTCCTGAGATATTCTCAGGGGTAAGCCCAGACTTGTGTTTTCTGGAAGCATAGACTCCAGTTTGGGAGTCGAATTTCTTGATGATGATGGCGGGTTTGGTTCAGACGTTGTGTCAGCCAATTGTTTGGTCTGGCTTCTTGTCACCGCACATGCAGGATACAGTTCATAATCATTATCTGGAACTGTTGACAAAGGGTCTGAAACCGTACAGGGGTATACTTTGCTTCCCGCAAGGTCATTCCCTAGAAGTAGGTGTACTCCTGGGACAGGAATACTATCTATCACACCTAAAATGACCTCACCTTCGACGAGATGATGTTTCAGGGCAAACTTGTGTAGAGGGACGACAGTAGATTTCGTCCCTACTCCCTGGATAATGGAAATCCTTCCGGTGTTCGTCTCTGGTGAAATGTCCATTGAACTTTTCAAAAGGAGTGATTGTGACGCTCCTGTGTCTCTTAGGACGGTGATATTCTTCTGAGACAACGGGTCACCTGGTTTGCTAATGATGGCTTCGGCAATAAAAGATGAAAAGTCAACTTTTCTCGATCCCTCGAGATCGGTAGACTCGGAAGAAACTGGATGGTGGCGAGAACAGTCAAAATGTGACTGCACATAATGTGTGGAGATTTGACTACCTTCTTGCGGACACTTAGGGTTAGAGTCCTTTTGAATTCTAGAGTTCATAGTTGAACTGGCTGCTTGAGGGGATAGAGCATAGTGCGCAGAAGTACGCACCACCTCTCTGTTATTCTGAAGACGTTTGTAACAGTCTTTGACAAGATGACCAGGCCTTTTGCAGAACTGGCATACCGCTCGACGATTGAGAGTTGATCTTGGTTTCTCTCTGGACTGTGATGCCTTCAAATGTTGGCCAACAGGATGATTGCTGCCAAAAAGGGGAAGCACGGGGTTGAGGCGGTTTCCTGACACCGGTGGTTTCTTATGCACCAACATATAGGTGTCAGCCGACTCAGCAGCCTTCTGGATGTCAGTTATCTTGTTATCCAGAATGTGTAGTCGTATCTCTTCAGGCAGGGACGATAGGAATTCTTCCCTTAGGATAAGTGACCTGAGCTTCTCAAACTCAGAAACTTCCTCCGAGTGTAGCCACCTTGAAAATATTTTCTCCTTTTCAAAGAGAAATTCCACATATGATTGTGTGGGTAACTTGCGGAGTGTTCGGAATTTTGTCCGATAGGCCTCGGGCGTCAGTGCGTAGGCCTTTAAAATGGCAGTCTTGACCAAACTATAGTTATTTTGAACGTCGTGAGAGAGTGCCTGGTATGTTTTTGCAGCTTTCCCAGTAAGGACAGAGCTCAATAAAGCAGTAATGGAAGTTTCGGGCCATTCACATGTCTTCGCTAAACTCTCAAACGAGTTAAAGAAAACGACCAAATCTGTTTCATCAAATTTAGGAACTAATTTCCCAAATTTGGCAATCACTTGCCCTACCGACAACTTTTTTGGATCTACCAGAGAAGTGACATCACTAACTTTACCAAATTCTGATTCCAACCTCCTCCTATCTAAAGCAATTTTAACCTCTAACTCCTGTTCTTTTAATGCCTTCTCTAAAGCAACTTTCTCCTCGCGGAGTAATACACCAGCCAACAAACTTTCATCAAATACCCCTTCATTAATAAAATGAACAACAACTTTATCTCTCAACACCTCTGACTTCTGCGTAACAGAATAATCCAATTTCAATTCCTTAACAAGACTAATCAACACTTTTCTACTCAACTTTTCTACACCTTCAAAAGTAGGATTAGCCAAAAAAGACTCCATAACACTAACTTTCAAATCACAACAAGCCTAGGTTCACTAACTTAACACGGTGCGTTGGGCCGTGTACTTGACCTCTAAATGTAGGACGACACGTCTGCTTATTTGACCTAGATACTCTAGCCTGAGCGCGTGTTGTAAGAACACTGCGATACTGGATATAAAAACAACTAGATCAGACTAACCTTAGTATTTACTGATATAACCAACAACTGGAACGACAGATTAAATCCCGGACGGGCCCCCACTTTGTAACGTTAACCTATCTATCAGCCAAATAGAAGGAGAACGTCCCCGGATTCTTTTTTCGGGGTCATATGCAAATGCCTTACGGCCTAAGTGGATGAACACTTAACACAACGACACACTAGGGCTCGCATTCAATGTCTAGGGAAACTAGTGATACTATTGTAATTAACACTCATCCAATCTACATACGACCTTTTAATCAGCGAACTCAGAAGTGGCAGAACACAAGGTTGAACTAAATAAAATATTTAATGTATAAAATATCAAAACCCAACTTACACAATGTAGGAAAAAACACTATCACAGATTTCTACACTGTCTAAAAAACAGCTACAGGCCACACAACACTGCTGTAGTTTCTAGAATTACTTAGCGACAAGTAATATTAAACTAGAAGACTAAATCAACTGAAGAAAGCAAGGCACACACAGGTCTTAAGTACTCTCACGTTCAAATGGTCAGAGTCTATAGCCGGACAATATGGACGGCTGCCTGATCAAGGTAAAACGGCCTCGTAGACTGCCAGGTCAAGATAAACTGCCTCGTGTTGAGGGTGTGCAGTGTAATTAAAGACTTCTGTGACAGGGGAGGTTATCCTCAACTCATGTCGCCATTGGTTGGGATAATCATCTGATCAGAATCATTCAATCAGATTTTAATGGAAAATTTTCTATGTCTCAAACACCTTAATAGTCAATGGAAAAACCCCAGGTGTTACACCATCATTCCATATAAGGAATTATACAATGTCAAAATAAAAATGACTCGACCTAAGTAGGTCACAAGTGGAGCAGATCCATCTATGTAAGTTAGTGGAGCAGATCCATCTATGTAAGTTAGTGGAGCAGATCCATCTATGTAAGTTAGTGGAGCAGATCCATCTATGTAAGTTAGTGGAGCAGATCCATCTATGTAAGTTAGTGGAGCAGATCCATCTATGTAAGTTAGTGGAGCAGATCCATCTATGTAAGTTAGTGGAGCAGATCCATCTATGTAAGTTAGTGGAGCAAATTCAGCTATGTAAGTTAGTGGAGCAGAACTATCTATGTAAGTTAGTGGAGCAGATCCATCTATGTAAGTTAGTGGAGCAGATCCATCTATGTAAGTTAGGGAGGTCGTTGTACTATCACACACTAATAAATTGAGGCCTAATTATATGAAAATCACCTATGGGTAAATTATCATATTCAATTTTCTACTTTCATATAAAAAAATATATTTTAAAATTCTTTCTTAATTAAAACAGTTTGAGCCCAGTTTATTTTCAGAATTTTTAATTTCAAACAAATTGTAAATAATTTCAAACAAATTGTCAATAATTTCAAACAAATTGTCAGTAATTTCAAACAAATGTCAGTAGTTTCAAACAAATGTCAGTAATTTCAAACAAATGTCAATAATTTCAAACAAATGTCAATTTTCCTCAATCAACCAGAACAAATGACGATGGTGTCACCCCTGTACACCAGGCAGCAAGTGAGGGCCATGTGCAGTGCTTAAAGATTCTTCTAGAACTTGGTGCTAAAATAGATGGCAAAGATTGCAGAGGCAACACCCCACTTGATCTGGCCAAACTTTGGGGCCATCGCAAATGTGCCAGGTTGGAATATTTCATCCGTTTTAAAATAAAAGAAAAAATGGAAGTCTTTTGTAAATCTGATTTGATTATCTCCATACTGTCTGTTTCAGGATCCTGGCAGCTGAAATGTGGCACCATGATAAAGAGTTTGTTGCTAAAGAAATGCTACAGTTAAAGAAGATGAAAATGCAGCAGGTTTTAAAAGATTTTGAAGAAGAAGAGAAAATAAAATCAGAACATCTTTACGAGCATCAAACATTTCATCACTTGTCGAACTCTGGCAATCAGCCTGAGAAAGCTTCAGAGCCTGGGAATGGACAAACTGAGAAAAAGTCTTTTGGCATGCACAAACCTAACAGTGTTGCTAGATCTGGTGACACCAAAACACTACACACTCCAGCACTACACACCCCAAAGCAGAAAGCTGATCCATTAGATGAAAGATTTGAAGATTTCTCAAAGAAAGATGTCCATTTAATTAGAGAATGTGATGTGAAGTACCATGACACCAAAGATGAAACTAGCAAGAAAAACAGTCAAGCAGCCAAGTTCTATATCCCGGATGAATGGAATGTTTCCACCAAACCCGAGGAAAACCCGTACCAGCCTGGGCTGGCCGACCACTTCCCCAGGGATGAATACACACTCATGCCCAAAGTTAAAGGCGCACCCAAATATTTTGAGGGTAAATTTCTCACAGTTTTAAATGCCAACAACGTAGATGAGGATGTGAAAAGAAAAGGAGTGAGCGCTAAACTGAGGAAACCAAAGCTGCCAGCAGACGTCATCAAGTCAGTGATGAGCAGAGAGGAGGGGGGCGTGGCTAGGGGGATGATCTTCAAGTGCCAGCACATCCATGACGTCCACACCAAGAGGAAGTTTGATGCCGGCACCAAAGGCCTGCCAGAGACCCCATTCCATCTGACCAATGATATCAGGTCCTTCCTGCTTCAAAACAGCTTACACGTGTTGCAGTGCCAACCTAAAACCAGCAGTTCTAAATCAGAGTCTACTGCAAGTCTCCCCACCACTGAGTGGACTCAAGCAAACTTTCCCCGTCCGTTAGTGCTGCAGACATTGAAGAACATGTCCAGGCCTAACCACTTTCCTAATATCAAAGGTGAAGAAAGATTATTTATTAACTGACAATGCTAACAATGTAAAAGTTGGAAACAGTTGCAGTAAGAAATCTCAGCAGCATGAAGCCAAGGGAGACAATGCTAGGAAAAGGACATCAGCATCTTTGATACTATTTATAATACTATAGGCCTACATGTTACCAGTTATGTTTTAAGATTTTATCAACTTGTTTAAAATTATATTAGATGTTGTTTTTTTTGTAAATTCAAGACTCAATAAATGTTAGTACATAGTTCCAGGTCCAGTTTGAGCCACCATTGACCATTGATTGGTCAGTAAAAATTGTTGAGCCACCATTGACCATTGATTGGTCAGTAAAAATTGCTGTTTGTTCCAGTCATGATACACTTTAATTGAAGGCCTCATCTGTTTAGTTAGACTTTTGTTAACCCACATTAATTATGGGATGACTGCTTGTGTTTAATGCAGACTGTTGATGTCATCTAGAATATTATTTGTACAGACAAAACCTCTAGCAAAACTCACAGTTGAAACATTTTTCAAATCGATTTTATCAATTTGTCTGATGAAAACCTGTGGCTGTGGCTGAAGTTCAAAGGTCACTTGTCTAATACAACTTCTGTTTTTTTTTTTGTTTCTACACACTGTACATTTGTTTTTTTGTTTTTTGTTTCATTTTTAAAGGTCACATGGTTCATTTCAAATCATTAAAACAAATCATTAAAACAAATAGTATTTGCCTGGTATAATGTCTGTATTTGAAATGCAGACTTATGCCAATTCTATCAATTTTAAAATCAGATTTATACGAGCAGACAAATCACCACATTTTATCAAAGTATTTAAAACATGTGTTATCTACACATCTGAAGATCAGATATAATAAAGTGTGTGCATTCAGTAGCCATTTTATAACTCTAGCTTTTAATATATAAACCTTGTAACCATTGGTGGTATCTCAAAGATAAATTCAATTGCCAAACTCTAGCTTTTAATATACAAAACTTGTAACTATTGATGGTAAAACTCTAGCTTTTAATATACAAAACTTGTAACTATTTATGGTAAAACTCTTAGCTTTTAATATACAAAACTTGTAACTATTGATGGTGTCCCAAAGATGAATTCAACTGATAAAGCTTAACCAAACATTATGAATGCCAAAAAATTTTCAAATATTTAAAAATGTATTTACATTACACTCTGTGGCTTAAAACTTGCTTCTGTAATAAAGGCAATTCTAAATATTTATTTCTGTTTTTAGTGTGAATTTTTATATTTTTTTTTTATATAAATGCTGTTTTTAGTTGGTTTTCTGGCTAAAGGGTTCAGCATAGAATCAGAATCAGCAAAGCAAGAAATAATTATAATTTTTTAAAGCCCTTGTGAAATTCAATGGGTTAGACCTTTATTGAGATACTAGCCTCAGAATCTTTGACACAAATACAAAGTCTTTTTTAGTGAACCTTTGGCACAAATATAAAGTCTGTTTTAATGATCCTTCAGCAAAAATACAAAGTCTGTTTTAGTGAACCTTTGGCACAAATATAAAGTCTGTTTTAATGGCTGAGAGATGTTGTGTGCACTGAAAACAATGTAAAATTTTTAAGGTAAAAAAAAAACTTGAAAACAACTTTGTTGAAACTATTTTTTATACATCTTTTTTTCTATGTAGGATAATGATTTTGTTGAGAAAATAGTGGTTGAAGACAGTGGCGTAGCTAGCTCGGGTGTCACCCGGTGCGGCACCTAATGGTGTCACCCCCCCCCCAAAGAAAATAAATTATATATATATATATATATATATATATATATATATATTCCATATAAACATGTGTATATGTATAAATATTTTTTCTGGATGTATTTAATTTTTTTTAAGCTACGCACTTTTGACTGAAATTCGTCCTTTTTTAATGTATAGGAAGATGAGTAACATATTACACACTCGTGGGCTGTTGTGTAATAATTTGCTTGATCGAATGATATGCCTATTTGTAAATTTATATGTGGTTTCACCCCCAATCCACTTTAGTGGACATTGTATTTGGTGTCACCCCCTCCCTAACTTTATGTCGAATGGCGACAATTTTGTGCGAACATTCTATTAATCTACCTACAAAAAGCTTTTAAGGGCTTCAACTCTAACAGTTATTAATTCATTTGCAAAAAACATTGTTTATGTAGTAAATTAAAAAATTTAGTGTCACCCCCCCCCCCCCCCACTCCAGACATGGATTAACACGTAAGTTGTTACCACTCTCAACCAAATAGATTTTGTTATGAGATGTTGACAAATCCTGCAATTACGTTGTTTGCTGTTCAGACAAATCACCTGACGATGGAGACACATCACATCAGAGGCGGGGCGGACGTACAAAATAAAAATGTTATTGAAAACATTCTTACATTTTACATTTATCAGATTATAATTAGGCATTATATTATAAGTAAAAGTATTATTTTTCTATTATATTAAAATTATTTTCAAAACAATGGTTATTATTCATAAAAAGAAAAACTAATTCAATTTTTTATTAGAAATGTTATTTATGCAAATCTTTGAGAAATCGATCTAAGAGAGGTAATCATGTTTTTATTTTTTCATCGCTTATTTTTCTATGAGTTATCCCGCATTTAATTTTAAGAACAAAACTGCAAATAATGTTCATAGAAAACATACATGGAATTTCTTTTCTTCTTAGTTCAGCCGTGGCTATGTTTCTTAATATATTAAATTTTAAAATATCAATTTTAACAATATTAAAAAAAAAATATTATCCATAGTGTACTTAAAGTAATTTATAACTTAAAATCGCTTTCTCTAAGTTTATAATGCTAGTTAATATATATATGAAAATTTAAATAGAGTAACATTTAGTAAATATTATGCATCTTTATTATTTGTTAAATTTACCTTTTTACCCGACTAAAAGTAAAATTGACTTAAATTGTAGTTTCAAAGTGAAATATTTTCATGGTTGTTCCCCCTTGACTACAAGTTTTGTGATCTAATTCTATGACTAGAATGCAAAAGCGAGATATTTTATCAAATGAAATTTGAAACGTTTAATACATTATTTGCATTCTACATTAATTGCAACTAATTTCATTAGCATTTTAATTTTTTTTTAAATATTTCAACACTATAATAAATTTTATTTTTAGTTATTTCTACGTCTGAAAATATTTAAGCGCGGTAACCTAGGATAAACTATATTCTAAAAACATTTTCATGTTTGTTCCCCTTTGACCATTCACTTTGTGTAACATATTCAAGGAAAGACAACAATAATAATATTAACAAATTTTATAATAAATGCTCAGTTATTTCTCTTTGACTTTTGCAAAAATTATAATAATAAGATTGTAATATTTATCACCTTCTAGATTTAATAGTAATTTTTATCTTAATTTTAAAAAGTAAATAGTTGTTTGAGTTTTTCAGCGCTGTCCCGCCACAGCAGAGGATGAAGTTTCTCTCATGCCTGTTGATGTTAATGAGTTCTATACGTTCCAAAAACCCTATCGATCCTGCCTGCAAACAACCATCGTTGAGCACATCCACTCTCTAGGGACTGTCAGGTTTACGGTGGAGGGGTGAACACATCCACTCTCTAGGGACTGTCAGGTTTACGGTGGAGGGGTGAACACATCCACTCTCTAGGGACTGTCAGGTTTACGGTGGAGGGGTAGACAAAGTGTTGGTTGCTGAGCTCTGGCTCAAATACAAACACTAACCCAAAGAAAAAAACACAAACGAAAACGAAAAAAGAAAGAACAAAAACGAACCAAATCAAAACGCAACCACTAACGCAAACCCAACCTAAACACAAAGAAAACACAAACGCGAACATAAACGCAAAGTGCTCACAGTCTAGCCCGGGGCAGAATCGCCTGTTTCAGCTTAATAAACGACTATAGTACCCCAACTTATTCATAGTCTTTTGCACTCCCTTAAACGAACGTAGGTGCCAAACCAAACCAAATAAACAATTATAATCCTCCAAGCTTATCCGTAAAATACCTACAACATTTGCACTTGATCAATCCCCGCTAATTATGTAATTATTTTTTTTTCCAACACCAAAACAAAGTAATAAAAAGTAAATTCTTTTCAGCGAATGCAATGTTTTGTAAAGGGAAGTAATTGTGTTTTCCTAATTTATCAAAGGGAAGTAAGTGCTAAAGGACTAAATATAAATAATTTTCAGACATAATTCGAATTTCTGTAAAAGATGATATTTTTTTTAAAATTGTGTTTAATGAACATGCCGACAATTATTACTTATTATTTGAAAAATGAAAATTATTTCCCAACACTTTCAATAGTAATTTTTTAACTCATACATTTAGACTAAGAGCACGATAATAATCTAACACTTAAATCCATTGAAGTATGTCCACGACAAACAAAGTAATTACATGTTACATACAGAATTGAGCTTTATATATTAGATTGCACTAAAAAGTAGAAAATTAATAAATTCCTTTAAAAATATAATAATACACTACTATTTAAATAATTTTAAAGTAAAGCGTGGGCCTGGTCTCTTCCTATTTTTGGTAATTAATGATATCCAATAGATAATATAGCGACCCACGCTTTTCTTTAGTTATTTAAATAGTAGTGTATTATTATATACGAGAAAAATTGCCCATTGAGGAAGGATACAACGGGCGCTAGGTTGATAGTGCTGTCTATTTTCTCTAAACTAAAACCAAAACCAAAATCACCACCTTAACTCAATTTAACCGGAAACGAAAAATTACATTGAAAACGGATTTTTATCCAGAATCGGTACTTTGATTTATACAAAATATAGTCATAGGCATATCCCTAAACCATGCACCTAATCTCATTCATGAAAAAAGTCGAATTTAGAGTTTCTTTCAGGCAACTCTACTTGGGAGGAGCCCCCCGCCCCCCCCCCCCCTCCCCAACCCCCACACATCCCAAAACATGTCTACCGTCCCATTCAACGAAATATAACTATATACGTCTTTTTCCAGTGTCCGCGCCCTCCCCGAAAATTCTACCCCCGCCCCCGAAAATTTCAAGTACCCCCGCCCCTCTCCGGGGTGGAAAAAGTCTGAAAGAAACAGTGGTCGCATTTGTAGATCATACAAACTAAAGGAAGAACCTGGGCGGGGCTTCGCCCCTACCGGAAGAGATGCATGAAAAAAACTGCACGCTAAACACTTTTTTAGATTAGAAAGAGTTCCTCCCCCCGGGGAGGAAAAAGTCTGAAAGAAACACTGGTGTCGCGCTTAGCCACTACCCGAAGAATTGCATGAAAGAAACTCTGCAAGCAAACCACTTTTTAGATTTGACACATTAATTAGGCGGTAATTTTATTATAGAGTATCGATGAAGAAATTTCTTTTGGGGGGAGGGCGGCTTAGACGCCACCACAATTTCAAATAGCTATGACGTATGCTGATAATTCGAGTCAATATGAACTCACGATGAACCCTTGCCCTAGTTAGGATTTTTCTCCAACTGAAGAGAAAACGCGAGCATGCTATCACACGCTGTTAAATTGGAACTGTAGGCCTAATGCTTAGTTTTAATGTTTTTTACCTGTTCTAATTAAAACGTACAATCATAAAAATAAGTAGATCGAATTCTAGTGACACTAGTGTTTTCCTAACGGTTTTGTGTGTTTCGGTTGTGTTATTAATAAATTACGCTCAGTCGGAGGTGAAGGTTAGCGGGGAATAAAATACGCTAAAGTGGAGTTTTACCCTAGATCTACATCAGGGATCTACAAACTGCGGCCCGCATGCGGCCCGCGAGGTCCTCTCATCCGGCCAGCGGAAATCTTTTTGTTCACAGAAAAAAAATGTTAGAGGTGGCTGAAGAACTTTGCCCAGAAAATTCAAAACAATTTGAAAATGTAGCTTTGGGCGCAAACACCATTGCCCTCCGTGTTGCAGAAATTGATGAAAAAATTGTGACTGAAATAGTGAAAACTGCTAACAAGTTTCGCAATTTTTCAATTGCAATGGATAAGTCGCTGGACAGCTGTTTCATGTTTTTGGAACAAGTACAGGGCAACAACTTGACGCACTTTCAGCCGTGCAAGGTCTTCATGGATGAAGCAACAGCTGAGTTCCCCACTTCAATTGCATGCGAGATCATCAAAGACCTCCAGCCGCAGTTTCAGTAGAGGTTTTCTGGCGGATTCAAAGGCAGAAGAAGTGAAACTTTTTCAAAACCCATTTGAAGCAAATGTAACTAGTTGCCCAGATGAACTGCGGATTGAGGTCATCGAATTGCAAGCAAATGACTTCATTTGAGACAAGTTTAAAAAAAAAATAGCGGGTGGGTTTTTGTGTTTGCTCAAGGAGAACAAACTTGGACCTCGAGTGTGTTTTCGGCCCCCGACAGAATTTTTTTTCAGACTTTTTCTCTTCTCCTGGGGGGGGGGGGGGGGGATTTAAAATGAATGTGTATATATTTCTATATAAATTATATTTCGTTGGGGGGGGGGGGGACACCGCCATCCCAAAGAGATGCATGGAAGAAACTCTGGC